ATCGGGGTGGTTGTTTATCACAACACCTAATGCTTGAAAACTTAATAGATGAGGTATTTACAAACAGCGATTTCACATGTTGATATGACCTATGACAGAGGAAAATTATGTGACTGTTTGTAGGCCTTTTGTTCGTTAACTTCGTTAAGCTTCTGCTTCATCCCATTCCATTTTCAACCATGTTAAAATGTTTTTTTTTATGATATTTTATGTATGATATTTTTGTTCAAAAATAAATAAATAAATCAAATCCAAAACTCTGTATAGCAAGCTTACATTTGTTAACATCAATTAATTTAGATAAAGCCAATGTTATGATAGCTACTGTACAAAAGCCAACCCAGGCTTATTCTAAATACGTACCACTATATACATTTCTGGAGAGAGCAAAATTCGTCCCAGGAGCTATGCTTTTTTTATTTATTTATTTATTTATTTTTGCCGTGTTTGTTTTCACCAATCCACCAGAGGCTGCTGTGTATGCTTTTTCAGATCTCAAATTTCTCTTGCAAGTGCCATTTGTGACTGCTATTCTTGCGTAAATCTACCAGAGGCCACTGTCAACTGACTGACTTACTGATTGACCAACCGACTGATAGCCCCACCCATCTCCTTCCCTAAACCCAATCCCAGCGTTTTAAAAAGAAAAGCTCTTGACACTCTGGAGGTAATTAATAAAATACATTAATACTGAAATGGTTCAGGCATTTTAGAATGACCAAAACAACATTTCCGATGTTCTGCAGTGTGCTCAGCCTCCTGGTTTGTCTATTTACACACATTTCCATCATCATCTCTTATAACAAACCTTTTTTTAATGCACATACTGGAATTTGTTCAGTAAAAGTGTTTTCATCGCAGTTCATGCACATCTTGTCGAATATAAAGTTTATCCTACTCAGTTATGCGCATGTTTTTATGCATATTTTTTAAAACTTATATGCATTATGGCGTTTACATCAATCGTTTTTATGCGCATAACCAAAATGAGCATTAAAAAAAGGTGGGTAGAAGCGTAAGGCTAAGGCGAGAAATACCGTTTCGTCTTTAAAAAAGAGACGGAGAACGGCAAAAACTACGAGTTAAGAGAATAAACCCGGCTCCTGACCAGGTTAGATTCACAAAGTAAGTTACCACGGTAACTGACTCTGAGTTAAAGTTACTTCTCTTTCAGAAATAGGCTTTTCTTACCCTGCTTTCTCCAGTTCGACAAACCTGCCATTTTGAAACGGAAAACCCAGAATTTTTCTCATTTCAGGATTAAAAGTTTTCTCTTAACTTCCTTTCTGAAACGGGCCCCTGGAATCATTCTTCACCTACTCTAACCCACACTCTCAAGTGTGCTGAGGTACATTTTGAGCTACCGGACAACTGATAACAGCAAAAAAGCCGTTCATACAGAGTTAAATGGTCGGCGAGTAAGCAAAAAAGGAACAGAATCACACCGCCCCGTAGCTTTCGTTTTAAAGCCATACGTAGTGTAGCTCCGGCTACATAATTTGTGATCTCCAGAATTGTAGGTAGGGCTACTTTTTCACAGTGAGCCTATGTTGACAAAGCAGTAATTCATTTTAGATGATTATCAATTCATAGTTAATGGCTGATAATAATTTTAAATTGTAATTGTTGTATTAAGCAAATAATACAATTCAGTTGTATTTTTAAAGTACCACTATAATATGGATATTTCTTGCTGTTAATTTGAATGCATTTAATGACGTTTACTAACAAGACTTTATTGTAAAGTGTAACCTGTTGTACTTTATCATTCTTTTGCAGTTTAATTAGTTTAAATCATTTTATTTACTCTGAACATTTCAATACAATAAGCCAATACACCAAGTATTTTTTGGTGATTATACCTATTAGGGTAAATCTGTTTTGCAACATAAATCAATATGATAATACCACACATTGTGATGAAAGCTTCAGCATTTAATCGCAACAAGAACATTTGATACCAGAAGAAGCCTGCTGTGGGACTTTTTTGATGTAGGTGTAACCACTGCAAAAGTTCTCACAGCTTCAGGTAAACCAAAGAACAATAGACATGCGGAAGTAATCCAGATAATGAGAAGAAAGACTTGCTTTCCTTTTGGTGTGTGTGGCAAGCAGCATTCAGATGTTAGGAAACCTTGCTCACAATGGGCTTCCTTTGTGCTGAAGTACAGTGTCCTCTCAGATTAACGTCTAATGACACCCTGTTGTTCCTTGAGATAGCTGTCCCACATTAGACTTAGAGGACTGACTGTCGTCTGTGCTGCTGCGTAATCTTAGCAGGCTGAGTGTGTGGTTACGAAACGTTTTATCCAGTAAGAAGTACATGAGGGGGTCTGTGCAACCTCGCAGAGTTGCTAAACAGAGGAGGATACTCTTGACCTCCACATACATGGACAGTGGATGGCAGCCATCTGTTGAAGATGCTCCAGACCAAGACTGTTTGTTGATGATATGAATAAAGACGGCTTTATAAATGTGATGAGGCAGGAGACAGACTACCAGCACAGCCTTAATGATGACGATATTCCGGAACACTCTCACATGCACTCGCTGGCTGTCAGAGATGGCTGCGCTTTTCTTGGACCTCCAGATGTGCTTGATCACTGCCATATAAGTGCATAAGACCAACAGGAAAAAGACAAAGAACAGAGAAACGGCCACTAAAGCGAAAATGTGAGATCCTTTCCCACCAACTTCCACTGCTACACCGTAGCACTCTTCATCTCCATCGCCATCTTCTACACTTCTAACCTCCCTGACTGAGTACAGCACCACAAAGGATGTGACGGCTATACCAACTATAGCCCAGGTGACCACACACAGCGCGTTAGCCAGTTTTGCATGACGTTTTCGAGAAAGGAAGGCTCTGGGTAGAACTTTAAGCCAACGGCTTGGGCGGTCAGCATGGGAGTGTTGAATCAGTGAAGCAAAGCGACTGAGTGCTACCCAGCTCAATATCATCACACCAATGCAGATGTTGATGTGAATGACCGGAGTTAAAATGTTGATCGCTATTTTGCACATTGTGTTGTTTTGGTGCCACATGGTCCCAAGTGAGTAGTACGCGGCCTGAAAAGGCATGGTGAGACAGAGCAACAGGTTGGAGATCCCGAGGTTAATCAGATAGATGTGGGTGGGTGTTTTGACTGGGATCTTGCACATAAACACCCATAGAGAAATAAGATTCCCCGGCACGCCAGTAACAGACATGGTTGTGTAGATAATAGGGAGAACTACTCTTGTAGTGCACGTTTGGCACAGGTTAGAAATGTTATGTTCAGCATCTGAACTGTTTGCCATCAAGCTCTCGGAGAAGGGAAATTCTCAACAGCTGAAAAACATAGTGAAAATGTTATTCTTAAGTGGAAGTGTTGTTTTATAACACAATATTAATTTTTTTTTTTTTTTTGTGAAAGTTTTTTTGAACTCCTTGACCAAAGTTTTTCATTTTATTTATTTTCTTATCATATTTATTTTTGTATTGTCAGGTTTATGTTTAGGAGATACATATTTTTTTTAAATAAACAAAGAAAGATGTGCGAGTTGCAAAAAACACTACATAAAATAATGTCTTGGTGTATGTGCAAAATTAAGTGGACCCTATGCTGTCTTGTACAAGTGGGTAACAGATTCAGTTATCAAGAAGCACCCAACTGAACATAAAACCTGGGCCAAACGTCCATGCTTCTAAAATCAATGGTCTATGCTTTGTCCAAATATTTTCTGACAGAGTTGAAATATGAGCTTAGCTCTTTCTTTTTCTTCTTCTCTTCAAACAAATTCAACTGCTAAACATACATTTTACATTTGATATATATATATATATATATATGAATACTAGTTATCAGAACAGCAGAATTGTTAGTTCTGTTAGTAGTTTAAATTGGTAAGCTGTGCTTCCTCTGACATACAGTTGCAGAACTAACCTTTAATTTCACTTGCATTCCTGTAAATATTCTACATAATTGCAGAAGTTCATAAACCACTTTCAGTGTCATCTTTTTTTTTTGTAGATACAGTGCTCAGCATATACAAGTACACCGCTCACAAATCTCTTTCAAATTCATATTTTAATAGGAAGCTGAACAATATTATAGTTGTGTTTATACATTAGTTTATTCAGTACTGCAGCCAAATTTGGAGCTTATCTAACAAAAAAACTTACAATAACGGTCCAAAAACTAGTACACCCAAATTTATATGCTATAGAAAAATATAAAATGCAAATGTAAAAAAGATCGAAAATTAAGAGACGAACAATTTTAGTTGAAATTTTGTAGGTTGTAATTTTTTATATATTTTTATTATTTTAATTGAATTTAATTGTATTATCTTTTAATTTCTAAAAATGTTTGCTGACTAAAATATAATTTTAATAAATATATCTGTAAATATTTTATATATAAATATAAAATGTGTGTATGTGTATATATATATATATATATATATATATATATATATATATATATATATATATATATATATATATATATATATATATATATATATATATACATATACACATACATACACACACACACACACACACACACACACACAAATTATTTTACTTTAAAGTATTGGCTAATGCCATAATGAACATTAAAGAGACTTAAATTAGTCATGTTAAATATTCCTCACTGCTTGTTTGAAATAACTTTTTTTTATTAATGAAAGGAAATATTTAAAACATATTTCAGTAACATATTTCAAATACTATAAAACATTAACAATAAATCACTTGTTTGTGTACAAGATTGGAGTAGATAATCCATACTAGAAGTAACTAATGCACTTACCTCACTAAATGGAGTCACTGATGTGTGCAACAGGCATCTGTGAGCTGTTTTGTTTTGGACCACCTCCCCTATACTGGTTGTTCTAGGAAGTGATGTGAGCATGAATGATATATGCTCAGTTCTCTTTTGCATGATTTCTTTCACAGATATGCTTACCTTTGCGAGTAGAACTTAAAAATGAGATTCTCTGTGAGGCTTGGCTTCCCAAAGTAGCTCATAAATGTTGTCTTTTTATTGAATTGTTAAATGAGTGGTTTAACCAGGCAAGGAATACATTGTTTGCCTGCAAAATGTAATACTCTAAACTAATTAATATAGAGTCAAATGAATTTTAACACAAAAATACTGAAAAAAAAGTTAATTTAGTAAGTTTGAATACAGAAAATGGCACTGTGCCGTATTAAACAAGGACTGTTTTAGTAGATAGCTTAAAAAGGTTCTTCGCATGACCTCTTGTGGTTAAATAGACACATTGCATTTTAAAGGCCATTCAAAATAAAGGCTTAAATAAAATTGATTAGTTTTTGTATTTATAGAACCTGCGTGCATCACATGATAACAAAATTAGATTCATAATATACAGTAGTACAAAAATATTGTTACAAATTCTTACTAATACAGTAGCTGGATTACTTCCACATGAAAACAAATATGTCACTCCACAACAGAAAAGGTTCGTTGTAGTATACAGCCTGAGTGTAGTAGTATGCTCAAAACTACTAGATGCCACTTTTAAAAAAAAGCATGGTGGTATATCATATAACTTTGCCACAAATTCTGCCTCTATCCACAATCATACTGATGATTGTGACGGCACATTGCTAACCCAGAGGTTAGCGGGTTTCACAGCTTGCAGATAGTTTTTAACAGGAAGCGTGATCGTTGCAAACTTTTTTTTCTCTTTAATTCCTCAAGGCGGTTTTAGTTGGTGGTTTAATTCAGCTTCATTTTTCTTGTCTTCCGATACCTGCACAGTATGCATCTGATGTGTGTCCAAGCTTTTCGAGATTTCAGGTTTGGGTTTAGGCCTGGTGTTGCGATTGACCCGACAGCAGCGCAAACGAAAAACCAGCTGGAGGAGGGGATGCAGACAACAGCTGAGAGCTGCAATGAATATGGTGCCCATTTTTATCCTGAACTCTTCCTGGCAGTTTTCATGCTGCGATGTTATTAAAATGATCCTTTGCACATGATAGGGCAAGAAGCAGAGTACAAACATTATGACTGAAGCCAAGATCTTCCTGCGAACCTTTAGACCTCCTCCAGGTCCAAATCCAGCACCGACTAAACTTCCTACCCTCACCTTCTGCAGATGGAAGATCAGCCGGCTGTAGCTGACCAACATCAAACACAAAATGAAGAAGAACGTTGACACGCCTAAGCAGTGGATAGTTTGGAATTTATTTTGATAGCGAATATAACTGTTGCCAACTTGGTCAAAGCAACTTCCGTTGATTTGTAAGCTCAGTTTAAGGCCCATGCACGTGCCGACGACTATGAAGATCACCAGCCAGGTAGAAAAGCAAAGGATCCAACAAGACTGGGTGTGTTTGAACACCTGAAACAATGAGTGGCTTGGTTTTACCACCGTTGTATAACGGTTGATGCTGGTCCATAAAAGAAAGCACATGTTGCAATAGAGGTTAATGTAGAAGCAAGAGTAAATAATCAGCTCTACTGCATTGCAAACTGGAGTTCCGGATAGCCACTCAGTGTTCTTCCTGTGGTAAACTGTTCTGAAGAAAAAACTGCAGCACATCAGCAGGTCTGAGAAGATTATGTTGAGAGTGAAGATGACAGTGGGCGTCCTTTCTGATCTCCAGAGATTCACCAACACCAGTCCATTGGCTGGAAGGCCCAGGAGAGCCAAAGAGAGATAGAGCCAGGGCAAAATGGCTGCATGGCTTTCTTCAGGTTGTATTTTGCAGATGCTACAGAAATAGAGAAGGAAGTGAAAACTGAGAACTTAGATTCTCTTGTCTGTATTGAAATGAGCAAGTGGTCATTGTGCTAAATCCAGTCTCAATTTACCTTTACTTGGCTTATTTAATAAATATATTCAGGAAATAATTTGGCTAAATAGTACAGCTTTCATGATTCAAAGATGAATTTTCTACAGAAGTAGAGAAGGAAATGAAAACTGAGAACTTAGATTCTCTTGTTTGTATTGAAATGAGCAAGTGGTCATTGTATTAAATCCAGTCTTAATTTACCTTTAATTGGCTTGTTTGGTAAATATAACTAAGAAATAATTTGGCTAAATATTACAGTTTTCATGATTTTCCTGCATCATCACTTCAGTCTTCATATCACATTGTTCTTTAGAAATCTTTTGATTTGCTGCTTAATAGAAATTTTTCATTGTCATTCTTATGGAATGATTTTTGCAGCTAGATAAGATTGAGATCCACTAACGATCAAAGTTCAAATCAAAAGATTCAAGTAAATTGATTAAAATCAACATGTACTGTGTAGGACTGTGTGATTAATCAAAATCGAATTGAAACGTTACGATTAGCTAATCGCAAGAGGCTGCAATATGAAATAAATATTTATTATTTAATTTCCCCCACCCAGAGCAAATGTGTGACTGCCGTCTGTGTCTGATAGTCTTACTAGCCAATTGACTGAGTACACTTTTGTTCTGCCCAATCAGAATTGTGCAACCAAACTATGCGGTACTCCCGCAATAAAACAAACAAACAGACAAGTGGGATCATAGAGACTGCCGTTTTAAAAGCATTACTAGATGAATTTATATTTAAAAAAAAAAAAAACAGCATGACGGTAATATGGGAATATTTTGGTTTCAGTCACAGACACCAAACACAACCAGTTAATTTGTTAGAGCTGTCGCAGAATTGTTGCCACAACACGAGGGAACACAACAACCAGCACCTATAAATGCACCAGATGGCTATATGAGGCATCTTGCTTAAGTCAACTAAAAGTATTGCAAGTGAGACACTCAATCTTGTAGCTACAGCTAAGTACAAAGAGTTGAAAGAACATATGAAGAAATATCACGAAGGCACCAGGAGATAACTAACGCCATAACTTGCTACTCTTTGCTTTAGAGAAAAATTTGTATTTAATTTTAGAATATTTATAAACAAATTTGAATAAAAGTTGGAGTTGGTTAATATCTTTTTTACTTTCCTTTTTAATTAACACTGAATTTTAGCTGTAAGAAGCTACGATACAGAATATTGAGCTGAAGCTTGACTACAAAATTAAATTGGAAATCAAATCACATTGTCTGTTAAAAAAATCGCAATTAGCGCACTGCTCTAGTACTGTGTGTAATATGTACATGAATACACTACATATACAGTAGAAGCCATAATTATTAACCCCCTGTTTATTTTTTCCCCAATTTATGTTTAACAGAGAGATTTTTTTTCAATACATTTCTAAACATAATAGTTTTAATAGCTCATTTATAATAACTGATTTATTTTATCTTTGCCATGATGACAGTAAATAATATTTGACTAGATATTTTTCAAGACACTTTTATACAGCTTAAAGTGACATTTAAAGGCTTAACTAGGTTAAATAGATTAACTACGCATGTTAGGGTAATTAAACAAGGTATTGTATAATGATGGTTTGTTCTGTAGACTATCGAAAAAATATATAGCTTTAATGGGCTAATAATTTTGTTCTTAAAATAGTTCTTAAAAACTTTAAAACAAGTAAGACTTTCTCCAGAAGAAAAAATATTATCAGACATACTGTGATTTCCTTGCTCTGTTAAGCATCGTTTTGGGGTATATTTTAAAAAAGAAAAATAAATTCAAAGGGGGGCTAATAATTCTGAATTCAACTGTACATATCCAACCATATGCATACGTTTCTGAACAGTCATCTTTATAAATCTTGGTTAAAAGCATTGCAAAAAATGTTGGAAAGATTGCAAGAATAAAAAGATTTAAATTCTAAGAAAAAGATAAGAAACACTTGCTGATGTTGTGTGTTGCACCTCATGATTAATGCAAGGAAATGCAGCCAATTTCAAATCTGTTTTTGTCATGATATTTTGGTACTTCCTGAGATAATGTTACGTCGTTTACCCAGACTTAAGCTAAATGTTGTAAAAACATACAGTAGCACAGGTACATGCAAAACAACATTTAGCAAAACAACATGCAAAACAACTTTTGCTCAATGTGTACACGGGCAAGTTTATGCACACAAATGAGTTGACGTGATTAATGAATTTTTATTTTTTTTTACTTCTAGTGATCAATATTATAACTCCAAATTATTTCAACCGCTGACCTACCTGTTTTTCAGCTTATGTGAAAGATTGGAATTTGGAATTTTGGGTTTAGAATACACCCATGAAACTACCATAAGAAACCACAACCTACATGCAAACATGCATTGAAAGATCATTTGAATTGATTATGGATAAGAGTTTTAACCTCTTTACTGACAAAGTAAAATATGCAAATCAGCCTACCTTTGATTGGTGCCTGAATCATTGGCTCCTAAAAAATGATTTGGAGCAGCATCTTGATTAGACATTTCTTCACACCTTGTGGTCCGGTACTCGTGTTTGTAACACTTTTCTTGTAGAATCTTCAGCTGTTTGTAGGAGTGGCGCACTCTTCAAATGTGCTTTACTAAGGACTGCTTCTGTTAACCACATCCTGAAAACAGATCATTCATAATGGCACAGTTTGTACCAAAGTCAAGAGCTTTCATTTTTGTTCACATGTCATAATTGTACAATTTTTCATCTAACTTTAGTAATAATAACACTATTTTACAAAAAGCAGAGGTGGTGGAGGATTCAAAATCTATACTCAAGGAAATTTGTATCCAAGTAAATAATATTAAAAGTTACTTGAGTAAAAGTATCCGATAAAAAAAAAAAAAAAAAAAAGTAAATAGTTACTAGTTACTTTTAATACACACACACACACACACACACACACACACACACACACACACACACACACACACACACACAAACACACAATGATAATAATGTTTAAAAATAATGTTTAAATGTTCTATTTTTAATGGTTAATAGTGTGAATGAGTAATATGTGCTCAGTTCTTCATTTTAACAGCTGTTTATTTAAAAACATACTTTATTCTTACTTTATTTTAAGTATGCAATCTTAGGAATAAAACAAAATACACAAAAAATTGTACTGTACTTGTATTGTACTTGTATATAAAAATGTACTCCATGATCAGTACAAATTAGTTTGCCCCCCACAGATCTCTCTTTTAAATGAATATTAATAGTTTCTATAAGCTGCTTTACAGTAAATAATAAAAATATGTTGGGAAAGCATTAAATAAAATAATAAAAAAATGACAAATCAATTTATTTTACAATATTTCTTTTGAATTTTAATATATTATCTTTTTATTACTAAAGATATTCTGTTACAAAACTATTATTATAACTTCTTTTTCTTTGGCCTTTGTCTCGTATGATTGCGGGTTCAGCTCTTTTTGGAACAAGTACCATATGATAACGACTTTTTTTTTTTTAATACACCTTCCGGCGGCTTGTCATATGGTCCTGTCACACTCATACACTATGGACAATTTAGCTTACCCAATTCATCTATATTCACTGAGAAATTAACCCTTTAACTGCCCCACCAAGAAAAAAAACAATTGTATTGCATTTCTAAACTCCTAATTTTGCTAGTTAACACAATGCATTTTTTTTCAACACATACCATAATTTTTTAAAAATTAACCTCTACCAATTGGTTAATATGTTGGTTTGTGGTAAATGTACCGGAATTAGTAAACTATGAATATTAGAAAATATGAAGTTTAAGACCAATTTATTTTAAAACATAATCAAAATAAAACATTTAAAACATTATGCCATAAAATAATTCAGATTCTCATTTAACATGTTTTCTTGTTTGTTTTCTTGTTTGTTTGTTTTTTTTTACAATAAAAACAAAATCAATAGTAGTGCAGCAGGATTATGTTTTTGTAAACCAACAATGCTGTGTTATTTGTTTGGTTTTTGGAGAAAATGGTTATGTAAATTGTTTAGAATGAACTTTTGTTTATGAATGTGTGTTTTAGGGTTCACAAGTTGTTAGTCTTGTATGAGAGAACATTGGAGGGAAAACATTTGTGGACGTGTGTTAAATGTGAAATTACAATAAGTTAAAAGTGCCCATAGTTATCTATTTACCAATAACAGTGTTTGAATAGGCAAACTTTTAACACTTACCATAAGTGTTTTTTCAGGTTGAAGCTGGAATTCAGGTATACGTTGCGATGTCAGTTCGATGTACAGTGTGCATTGCTTTATGAAACTATTCTTTTTGACATCTTGTAGAGCAACTACTATTTTTTTCTTCTGTGGGTTATGGATAAAATATGGTAATTTTTAAAGTTTAAGAAAATTTATTTGACTTTTGGAAATCACCAAGCAAAGCTCTGACATTGTCCCTTGTCCCAACCACTGCTGTAGTGAACACAGAGACTGAACTTGAGGCCACATGTCTTCTGATTCAATAAACTCGCATAGCAACCTCTGGTAACACAACCTCTCCAACGTGGCCCCTCAAATATTTGTGAACAAGTCATAAATCATATTTATGACAGTAATGGAGGATTTACTGTAAATGTACAGTAGTAAAGTTTTTTCTCTAACAATACTCCAGTAAGCGTGAAAGTACACGACTTTAAATGTATTCAAAAAAAGTACACGTACAAGTGAATCTATTTCGGTACACCTCTGGCAAAGTATTCATGACGTGCATACTGTATATTTTAGATTTTTCTGTTTCGTGAATAAGCTGTTTTTAATTATCTCCTGTGTTTTTTTGTTTTTTTATATTTATTATCACATAACTTGGTGGAAGGCACCATTATGGAAAGGCCTTCTGTTGTTCTCTTCAATGAGAAGGTGATGAACCACTAGTGGGCGCACAAAATCTTTGCTACTCTTTCTGCTTGTTATCCACTTAAAGATATAATGGTATGGTTAAATATAATATATGAGATTGTATCTGCTGTAAAATATCTGATGTCTTTACTGTTGTTAGAAGTTTAATGGGTTTCTCTTTTTCTTTTTTTTTTCTTTTTTTACATAAAGCATACAACTATTTTAGAGAAAATGATCCCAGTTATTGTTCTAGTATATAAAATTTGTTTGTTTGGAGTCCAATGCTTATAGGCTCAGTATTTCATCATCACATTAAATAATACAAATCACTAAATATTTCTTTATTTACTTTTATATGAAGGAAGAGATGTAAGCACAGTTTGAAACAGCTTAAGTTAAAGTTATCTGTTCTGTAACTAGGGTTGGGTATCATTTGGGGTTATTTCAATACAGGTGCTAAATAAATGCTTGTAAAATGGTACCGGTGACAAAACAGTGCCTGAACCGATAATTTAGAGCTACAAAGTTTTGGTGGGCGACTCTAGAAAAACTTTTTATTTGACAAAAACAAATATAGTAATCATTTTAATAAGGAAGATAAGTAAAGCTTAAAGTATACATCAATTCACATTTTATACAGTATATTATAATTGCATTAATATATTCCTTTTGATCATTTGTTTGCTAATATGAGTGCAAGATTACTACCAACCTTTGGAAAGGCTTTCATCAAAACCAGTGAAGTCCTTTTTTCTAGGGTTGGGGCTTGAGTCGTTTGAGTATAGTACTCCAATAACACCAATACTCTGATTTTAATATTATTAGGATAATAATCTGACTAAGAGTCTACCATGTGAACAGCCATTTAAGCCTTCTGTACATTGCTAACCAACAAGAACAAACACCTAACAACATTGATCACGTTGTCCATAACCCTCAAAGTTGGTTAGAATTAAATGATTAAAGATGGTGTGACATACAGTAATACGTACCAATGTGTGCCTTTGATGTACCCCTTGATGCTTCTTTTGTCTTTGTCACAACATCAGTGGCAGCAATATAAGGCACCTAAATTCGGTGTTGATTCAGTCCGGTGCATACCAATTACATAGAGACCAGTTTTGGTACTCAACCCTATCTGTAACATTAGTTCATACTGTAAATTAGGTGTCATGAACTCACTATAAACTATCATTTTAGGGCATTCATTTATTTAGGATAATGTTCATTTTTACATGTATACTCTACAGTTTTAACATTAAAAGTTGTATATATTTATAGTCCATATATAATTAACAAACATTATTTGGCAATGAATAAAATAAAATATTAAGAAATGAAATTCCAGGCAGTTTTTAACCCAAATTTGTGTATAATATTGAATTACCCAGCATTTGAGTTAATTTTCCTTCACTAATTTTGATTCATATTTTTCCCCAAGTTTAGGATATATTAGATCAAAAAATGTTTGCATCTAATAGTCAATGAATTATTAATTATCACATGATGCAGTGCTAAAGAATCAAGCTTTGCATGATCTGTTTTCATATTTAACTTCAAGTAACCTTTATTGAAAAGGCAGTGTTTCAGATGTATAGTACAAAGACATCAACCGATATGCTTATTGTTCATAAGGCATGTATGTACAAATATTTTAAGAAAGGTTGCATTGTACCTATTATTTGATTATTATTGTTGCCTTTTTGATGTCTTGACAGATTGTTTTGGGAACAACTGTCATTATTTTCGGCTGTTCGTCACTAGAGCTGTTCAGTGCGTTGTTGGTTTGCTGACAGAAGCAGTTACAGATAAACTTCAGAGTCACTTTGCGAATAGAACTGCAGAGCAAAAAGTACATGACTGGATCCAGGCAGCTATTAAGGGCAGACAGTAGCAGAACTACTTCATTGGTTTTATCCAACACATTCATCTTGTTGCAAGAAACATTAGGTGCCATCTGTGACATAATATAGAAAATCCTGACAAAGTGGTAGGGTGCGTAACACACTGTAAAGGTGAAGAGCACAAAGAAGGACTTCCATGCAGTTTTGTTGTACTTTGCAGCGTTTGGGAAATCTGGTTTGTCTCGGGAGGCTGTAATGAGCTTCATTCCAATCCTTCCATAGGACATTACCAATGCACCATAGACCACCCAAAAAATAGCCACAATGACAAAGTTAAAATAGGCTTTCCATTTGGAATCACACAGTTTTTTGTACTGGAAGCATTGATGAGTTTCATTATTGTTCTCCGTCTTGACAATAAATGGTGAAACTCCAGCAATTGACACAGCCCAGAGGACACCACAAACAATTGCACTCCAGTGACTCTGCAGAAACCACCGCCTGCTCGATGCCCTGTGGAACTTCAAGTAGCGGTCTACACTAATGAAGCCCAGTAACGCTATACTAATGTACATGTTCATGTAAAAGACATTACCCACTATCCTGCACAGCAGTGAGGGCAGCACCCATTGGTTATTGTTGAAATGGTACGCCACTCGAAAAGGCAGGCAGATCACAAGAAGTATGTCAGCTAGAGCCAAGTTGATGAGGAAAATCCGAACAGAGTTTTTCTTTGGATGTAGTCGCAAAAACACCCAGAGAGCCAGCAGATTCCCAGCAAACCCAAACAGAAAGAAGAGTGTGTAGAAAACTGCCAATGGGATCCGTAAGCTGGTATTGTCCATGTAGCAGTTCTGAGGTTCCTGCCGTCTGGTCAGTGACTCATTATGGTAGTTTTGAGAATAGTTGTTCATCTTTGCGTGTATGTATATCAAACCTTAGAAAGAGAAGCAGATATCATTATTACTAGCCAAAGCATTGAGGTTCTTTTTGACTTGAAATGTAATTAAATGTCTAATGCACGTTAGCTTCTGCCTTACCTTGTGAATTCTGTCCATCTGTTAAATTGCTTTTTAATCTCTCCTCTGATCTGTCTTTGCAACTTCCTTTTATATAAAGCTCTTCCTTTTTGGTTTCTGCGTTAACTATTGCTTACCTCAAAGCACAGCTGTGCACCAGTTTGCATAAAACAGAAACTGAGCAGACACTTTTAAAGGAGAGAAAACGCATCTCGCTTTAGTTCACCTCAGATCTTATCATCATCTTACGTCTTCCATAGCATTGACTTTAACAACATTTATCTTTTCTTTTGTTGTTAAGCTTGGTTGAATTAATTTTACATAAAAATACATATCTTTATTTATTTAATATGCTGTGTAATCTTTTACTTTTTTTAACCAATGGTGTCTTGCTTCATTGTTTTTTATGTTTGAATGGTCCAAAACATATTACATCAGTAAGGTCTTGAAGCATTGCTGGACATATTTTAATTATTTAATTACAATTATATATAAATACACACGTGGAGAATTTTGTAAAAAAAAAATCTGCTGATTTATATGCAATGATTTTAGGAGGATCACAACTAAAAAAATCATCACCCTAACCCCAAGGCAAATATTTTAAATAGTCAAAAACAAAAACATTAAACAAAATATTAGATCTCTTTATAATAAAATAAACATAAGTGTTAAAGAGACTTTTAAACTTGATCAATAAAATGTTACAAAGTGTGTGTTATAATGCCATAATATGTTTGGTCTGTGTTATTTTTTTCTATTACAGCCTCATTGTGTGCTGCTGGCATCAAAGGAGAACTCTGCTCCAGTGAAACTTGGTGGCTTTGGTGTTGCTATACAGCTGGGAGAGTCCGGATTAGTGGCTGGAGGTATTGGAAAAAACCCTTGCAACTATGACATTTACTGTGTACCTACATTGTAAACTAGGGGCTTCAGTGACTGATGTGTCTGACTTCTGATGCGACAACTTCTGGTTATCGTGACTCATCTATATAAAAGCAAAGTAATTCAAATTCTAAGTAGCCAAATTGCATAGAAAATAACATCCTCTTTTTATTATCTTGGCTTGAAGAACTAAAACTCTTCCGAATGTAAAGTTTCGCTTGTAGCATGAATAGTAATCATGGTTTTAGTTCCCTATTGTTTCAAACAAATCCATCAACACCTTTAGGGCATAACACTTAGTAAAGTTTGTCTTAAATTTTGAAGCATTCAGACAGTGATTAACTGTATAACTCTGTCACTGTTGCTGTTTGTAACTGACTATGTGTGCTTGATTGTTCAAATATTGTATTAGTGACATCTCTTTTGTATGTGATTGGATAAATGCTTGCTTGTCTTGTGTGTTTTCCACAGGCAGAGTGGGCACACCACACTTCATGGCCCCTGAAGTGGTGAAAAGAGAACCTTATGGGAAACCTGTGGACGTTTGGGGCTGTGGAGTCATTCTCTTCATTCTGTTGAGTGGCTGCTTGCCCTTCTATGGCACCAAAGAGCGCCTCTTCGAAGCAATCATTAAAGGAAAATACAAGGTAGTAGTTTAATAGCATAGTTTGGAGAGACGAAACAGACCTCTTAGGGCCTTTAAAATGAAGTCAAGCAAGCAAACCGCAGTCATTTCATCAGCATATACTTTTTTAATAGCCTGGATCACGAGGTAAGATCTTAAACCATCATTTCCATTGGCTTAGTCCCCTATTTATTTGGGGTCGCCACAGCAGAATGAACCGCCAACTATTCCTGCATATATTTTACACATCGGATGCCCTTCCAGCTGCAACCCAGTACTGGGAAACACCTCACCTATACAATCTCGCATTTAAACATGCACTCATATATATGGCCAATTTATTTCAAATCTAATTCACCTATAGTGCATGTCTTTGGACTGTGGGGGAAACCAGAGCATGCGCGCGAACACAGAGAGAACATGCACACAGAAATGCCGATAGTTAACACATGAATTACTAACCAGAATACCATAAACCATAATCAGGAACCACTAACATCAGATTATATTTGGACACTGCATATTTCAAAACAGTTTATTTCAGTTCTCTAATGCGTTTAGAGATGGTTGAGATTTTATTTTTTTTTTACCTCAAACAGTCAAGTTATAAAAATATGTATAAAAAACAATAAATCTTTTTACAACAGCAAAAGATGTTTTCAAAGATTACAAGTAGAACTTCTTGTGGTCAGGATTTTACTTATTGAAACATACATGTATTATAAATAGTGCTGTCAATCGATTAAAAAAAATTAACTAATTAATCGCACCTTTTTTAAAATTAATCGCGATTAATCACATTTAAAATACTAAAACTTGTCATTTTGGCTATTCAAATGTAAAATTAATGTAAACGCAGGACAAAAACTATTTAAATTTAAAATATAATTGTTTATTAGAATTAAAATTCAAAATATAATTGTTTAACAGAATTTTTTTTCAACTTGTAACACAGATTTCTTCATGTAAACAACATACCCACAATAAACCATCAAGATCCTTTCTTGACAGCCATATTTATTACAGAAATTAAAACACAGGCATGTTAATGACATTTAAATTTCAAAACAATCAATGCCAATAAAGAAAACATTGATTTCCATGTTGGATTCTAAGTGGACTGCAAAAAAATGACAAAATACAGGAATTGCAGATATGGAAAATGAAAAATTATAATAATAAACTATAGAATACAAACTGTTGCACTCATTGTAAAGTTTTATTGCTGTGAGTTGAGAACATTAGTTATAGAGTAGAAACAATTTTGCTTAATCCTCCTTTACATTCATCCAGTTGCTAAGACTAGGAGTATCCCGCAAGTGCACAGAGACTCCCAAATGCCCGCAAATGAATGATAATTTCTCGCAAACCGGTCGTTAAATACATTGCACACCCCTCTCCCCCGCATCCCTCCTAGCTCGTCAGGTAGCCTAAGTCGCGCGCAACTCACCCCCACCGTCCTTCAGGTACGTCTCGCGCGCACATACGTCGCTCACTCCACCCCTGACACCCCTCAACGGGCCTGACACAGACACACACACAGACAGACACACAACGCACTGCAGATGTTTTGGCTGACTCCCCTCAGATTCAACACGCATGATCACGTTCATCAAATTTGCTTAAACTAAGCGTCCTAAAGTATTACTGTATTTCACAAGGATTCTGACACAACAACGCGAAGCATACGCTTTCATTGCGTTTGAGGAAAAAAGCTAAACTTGGAGGGCTCATGCTGTAAGGCAGAGTAATGCCCTGTCTTTGACAGCTCGCGACTTTACCAGACTTTCTGAGTACATTCACATAAGACACCAATACTCCGATTTTAATATGATTAAGATTATACTCTTATTAAAATTCTACCGTGTAGCCTAAGCAGTGATTCTAATACCTTAAAGGAACACAGAGTCATGAAATGCGGAGGATTTTCTTTCTGTTCGCCATGCGGTATCAACTTACAACAGATGTCGAAAGTTAAAAATGAAACACGAAATTGCTTGAAACTTTGGAGAGCCTGGTGATGTGACTAATTGTTTTATACTGAAACTTGCCTTCAAAAAGTGCTTAATTGTTCTTATCCACATTTCTTGCATGTTAAACACACGTCCACCACAACAGGAAGTAAAAAAAACCCTGCAACAGCGTTAATTGCGTTAATTTTTTTTTTACGTGTTAATTATTTAAAATTAATCACATGCGTTAACGCACTAATTTTGACAGCACTAATTATAAAGTGTACAAATTATATTATATACGATGTACACTTTATTTACATATAAAACATGCATGTAAATTACTTTATAATATATGGGTTAAAGCAAAAGGTCACCTAAAAAGGAAAGCAATTTTTCGAATTAAGCAAAATTTTCAAAATTTAATAGAAATTGTTTCTACTGGATCAATAGTCCAAAACTTCTGAAGCCATAATGAGAGACTGGTCCCTATAATACACCCGGTGCAATAAAGTGCGAGATGTGTTCAGAGTGATTTGTTGCTATTTTCAGACCAGCGCAACCCTAATTTTCATGCTTTACGCCACGTTGTTTTAATAGCAAATCCATTTGCACCGCTTTGTGGACACATTGGTGTGCAGGTCTATAAAGTAGGTGTGTTAAGGTGCATTGTTTGCTATTTTCGAGAAATTGAAATAGGGCGTGTGATTGACCATGTTTAAAGTCCTGCGCAGAGTGTGTTAGGTATGTGCCTATGCAGATTCAAGAGCTTAATATACACAGGATGTACAGCAATACACAAATATCTTTACATATGAAAACAATAAAGTATCAAAATAGATATGTGGGAAGATAAATTTAAATAATCTAGTTCCAAATTAACAATAATCTAGCTAGGGTGTGACAGACCTTAAAACCAATTGCCTTCTCAGCATTGACTGTGCCAGGGTGATGCAAATGCTAGAGGCATGGTCTTAATGACTCTTCCTTTGTCTTTGGGTGATACTTTCAGGCTAAAGAAACACTTTTGTTGATTAACTTGTGTGGTCAGTAGCTGGGCAGGTTTCTCCAATACTTTATTTACATGCTTTGCTTAGCCATCACTACGGTGGCCGGGAAATGCAAAACAACATTATAAAGTGTGAAACACTTTTACATTTTGAAAAACATTTTTACCTGTCATCAAACACAATTACATAGGAAAAACAATTTTACCAAGGACGAAACAAATTTACATTTTAGAAAAAAATTAATAAGTCCGGAAACAAATTTACTTTAGAGTGGGGGAACTTATGTCATCACTTTGTAGGCTAATCGGCTGATAGCATAAAACTGGTTCCCTCAATAAAATCTCCAAAGGATTTTCCCATAGGCAACATTCAATATACTTTTCTGTCATGAAGTACAGCAAAAAGCTGCCCATACAGTCACATTTGCTATACATTTTATGGAGGAGTGTAAATATTGCAGTTATGAAAGTATTAAATGTGTTTAGATGAAGATAAAAACGATGAAAAATCACTTGATCACGTTAAAATAACAGGTAATATGTCTTTATTTTACACATTTATTCTCACGTTTGCATCACTGAGAGCAGGAAAGAGACAGGCTGCACTGGTATGTTCATAATATTGTTTAATTAAAATAAGTGATTAACAAATTAGTCTGTCTCGACAGCCTTTACAAGTGAAGGCATTATCTACACAATATGAATTCCCAATTAGAAAAATACTACAAACTATAAAATACTATTAATGAAAATACTTAAGTAACAGACAAATCCAAATGTCTAACACAAGCGAGCTGCGCTCCAGACCAGCTCAGCTCGATGACGTATATTGTCCCCGACATCGCCTGTAGTCCCATTTAGCAACTTTATAGCAACCATCTTTTTAAAGAAACATAACCAATTTAAAAATTTAAGTGTGATGTAACTGATGTGTTTTATGGTGTAGAGTAAAACGTGAAAGTATCTTGAGTGAGTGTTAGCCACGAACCTTATTTAACAGATATCACATTGAAAAAATTCATTGACTTTGGGACAAGGGAACCGGAATTGCTAAAATGCTAACTCGCTTCCGGGTTTTTGCCAACAAAGTAACGTCATAGTTCCCCCACTCTATAGTAAATATGTTTCGGGATTTGATAAAGTGTTTTGCATCTTGTTAATTTTTTTACAAAAATGTAAATTTGTTTCATCGTTGGTAAAATAGTTTTTTCTATGTAATTGTGTCTGATGACAGGTAAAAATGTTTTTCAAAATATAAATTTGTCTCGAGCTTTGTAAGTGTTTTACACTTTGTAATGTTGATTAGGACTTCCAGGTTCCAGTTATTATTTTTCATTTATTTATTTGCTAGAAATTAGAACTGAATTTTAAAATAGTTTTAATACAAATCTCTGCATTTAAAAAACAAAATTAAATATGTAGACTGATCAATGTCTTCAGTGCAGTGCGTACAGCACCGTTTCCTTGTCCACAAAAGTAAAGAAGTAAAATAAAGGATAAAAGTAAAGTAAAGAGAAAGTAAAGAGGCCAGATGGAGGAGACTCGTTCTTTATCCTCGCTCTACTGATGGTCTGTTTAGCCGTTTCTCGCTAGTGAAGCGTTTAGTTTTAAGTCTGCCATGTAAATAGCAAATGCACCATGGCCCGATATAACTGACTCTTAAAGGAAATAGGAGATGAGACTCGTTGATGATTGGATTAATGCATATTAAGCTCAACACTCCCATAACTCATGAAGAGAATAAGCACAACCCTGTTAGACCATGCTCCGAAGTGCAGAGCATAATTTTCCTTAAAAAAGCAAAAGTGGATTCAGACACACTCTTAATGCTTTTGCTCTATTCACTTTAGACTTTGCACCTAGATCGTTAAAATAGAGCCCACTGAATTTGGAGTCACTCATACCAATGTTCACCAGTGTTGGTGGAAATGTTGGCAGTTACTGAACATTGATTCTGTCACCAGCACCATTTCAGTGAAAGAAAATGCTTTCATAGCATATGGCGTTGTCCATTTATATATATGCATTTGCTGTACAGATGAACCCTCGGCAGTGGGGCCACATCTCAGAGAGTGCCAAAGATCTGGTGCGCCGTATGCTGATGCTGGACCCTGCAGAGAGGATCACAGTCTATGAAGCTCTCAACCACCCCTGGCTGAAGGTATCAACTGCACAGCTATAATGTGTTGATGTGGAATAAGACATATTACTGATGTTGTTTTATGCACTTTAGTTGTTCTTGCTTAATGAGATGAAATGATGTGAAGCTTATGTGTTTTCTATCAGGAGAGAGACCGCTATGCCTACAAGATCCACCTTCCTGAGACCGTCGAACAGCTGAGGAAGTTCAATGCCAGGAGGAAACTAAAAGTGAGATATCAGCACATTACAGTCTCTGAATTTCAGTATATGCTCTGTGGTGTAATATTCAATCACTGACCACATTATTAGGTATACCTGTTCAATTGCTCGCTAGTCAGCATGAAATCTAAATTTTGCTATTTATTGTTTTGTTTTTTTTACATATAATATTGTAGAATATTCATATAAATTACTTCATTATTTTTTAAATATGCTCTCATAGTCATTATTTAGTACCTTTTACTTCCACCCCCCTCGAAACAACAATTCTTCACCTCCTGCCATGTTCTATTGGAATATTGGCCTCTCTCTTGGTTTGCATAAAGATGATCCTTTTTTTTGAAGGTGCTGGAGGTACAGTTAGTAAATATTAATCCTCCAAATCTAGTTGCAAACTAGCATTCAAATTTACCTCTGTTTTGTTAGCAATGCACAACATCCAATGATCAAATAAATTCCAGAAGGACAGAGTCCTACCTGGCCCTACATATATATTTCAGAAGCTGTTTTAACCCGATATATTTAAGGAAAATTTCAACTTCCACTTCATTCTGACTTTAATGCAAATATCTAGTCAACCAGTTTCATGGCAGCGACTAAGGTAAGAAGGGAATGTCTGACTAGCTTGAGCTGATTTAAAGACAACAGTAACTCAACCAACCATTAGTAATACCAAGATATGCAGCATTAAAGTAGATAGAAGACTGTAGCAGAAGGCCGCACTGGTGACTGAGGCATCATTTTAGATTGTAAAAATCTGTTTTAATCTATGATTTGATATTTTGATGGTAGAGTCAGAATTTTAATACAATATGAAAGCATTTATCTATCCTGCCTGGTATCAAAGAGGGGATGGTAGTGGTTTAATGATGTGAGTAACATTTCTCGACACTCCATTAATAACAATTAATCATCATTTGAACACCATACAGCTGAGTGTTGCTTCTGACCATGTCCACTCTTTCATGGCCACAGTGTAGCTATTTTCTGATGGCTTTTTTTCAGCAGAATAGTGTTTTTAAGTCACAAATGATCTTCAACTAGTTTTTGATTGTGGCAATGTGGTTGATAAAATCAACAGTCAACAACTATTTCACAATAATAAAGCATATGTTGGGTTGCTAAAGGATTTTTAAAGATTTTCTTTATGGATGTGAAGCTGACAAAACCACAGTAATATAAACCAAAATCTCTGTCAAATGTTTCCAGCACCTTGTTAAATCTAAAAATAAGGCAGTTCTGAATACAAAAGTTGTCCAACCCAGTCCTAGTAAGATGTACCTAATAAAGTGGCCAGTGTTTGTAAAAAAAAAATAAAAACAGAAACCAAGATCAAGTAGATCAACCACAGGAAGTGGATACAATGAAACTGTGCCTTGCTCTAAATAAATAGAACAGAACAGAAATAAATGCTGAGCTATTTGCTCTAAATTTATTGTTGCAGTATATAATCAGTGTCTGTTTGCCAGGGTGCTGTGCTCGCTGCAGTCTCCAGTCACAAGTTCAACTCTTTCTATGGCGACCCACCTGAAGAACTGCCTGACTTCTCTGAGGACCCTACTTCCTCAGGTACTGCAGCAGACTGCACATACAGCATCTGCTCCCAACCATTCTGGTTTTCAGAAGTTAGGGCTTCTGCAATGTGTTATCAGTTGTGTAATTTCTCATCACAGCACTATGGTTACTTTGATGTTATCTGACTGACAGAAAGAGACGAGGCTTGTTGGTAACTTGCTAAGACAAACGTCATAGTGTTGGCCACAATTTAGATATTTGTACAAAACTCTTGTAAAGATTAAAAAAAACTGCTATCGATTCGTAAGTGAACAAATTCACAGTTTTACCAGGCAGACAAAAAAGCTGAAAGAGAGACCTGATCGGAGGAATGAGATGGTTATTAAGATTTAGGATTAAATCATTTAATCCTGTTCTGAGACCATGCTTTTTTTAGTGCCACCTCAGTTGAGGTTCGTAGGGATCCATACCGATGCTAAAACTTGTTCCCCTTTTTGTATCGTCTGTCTGAATGCTTGTAATCTGCCCAGGTAAAATGAAGATGGAGTGTTAGAAGCAAGTAGGAAGCAATTAAGGCACTTAAAGGTGCTGTATACTGCATTGGTTTAATAAGTTAAATTGTTCTCGGATATCAACATAGTAGGTTTATGGCTTCGGTAAGTTAAAGAATCTCTAAAGCTAATTTATTACTCCATAAAATACCCATAGAGTCAGAAGGTCCATGATTGACCATATGTGGCTCGTGTCGTGTATATTAATGAGCTCCACTCTAACATGCCACTCTTACAGACACACACACACACAGCATGATGTACACTGAACACGTACAAATATAAACCCAATCAGAGTAAGGTTAACCTATCTTGCTCACAAGATCTGTTGTGGATAAAGGCTAAATTATAATTAAACTTGACAAAAGAGAGTGATAGAGATGTATGTCGTTGTATTTTGAAGCTATAGTCAGAGAAAATGCTGGTAGGAATTAATATCAACCTCTGCATGAACATAAAACTTGAAGTTATTTGACATGATTTAGTGTGTTTGTTGAAACATACGCATCAAATTTCACAATAAACACAATAAAATAACACAATGTGTAATTAAACATGCCTTAAGCCTCTTCAGAGTGGAGATGAATACATGTATTATCTATAAATCTTGCATTCTGCATCCTGAGGCAAGTTTGAAACATGTCTCCTACTGTCATTGCACAGTAAACAAATTGGCACTAGTGTTTTCAAAATAAAAGTCCCACTTTAGTAGTAAGTGAAATATACGCTTAAAATAACTAAAGGAAAAAAAAGATTATTGTGATCTCACTAGAAAACATTGTTGCTTATCAAACACAGCACGAGGCATGCAAATTAATGATCTCAGAGTTTTTTTTTATATGATCTCAGAGCTTGATGACATGGCTGCTCATTAGGTCTGGATGAACGACCCAAATTAGGCATACAGTGAGTCTCGTCAGTTTGTTTTGTCTTCTAATTGGCCCGTTGTTCACTGAGGTTTAACACTTGTGGAATTTACATAAAAACAAGGAAGCAGTGGTGTCTTAGGCTTATGGTATGCCCATTTCCAAATACTGATCTTTTATGATTCTATTATGCCTTGGTATACCCAGGTTTTCATTATAGGGCACTCTTAACCAACAATCCCGCACATGTTTATAGCCCAAAAAAAATACATAAATACATACATACATACATACATACATACATACATACATACATACATATATATATATATATATATATATATATATATATATATATATATATATATATATATATTAAAAATATCCAAAAGAGAACGTGGAGCACAAAGGAAAAGAAACCCTCTAAAGTTACAATTCTAATGAAAATACAAATTTGGCAATGAGCAGCAGAACAGCCTCTCATCTCTCATCTGCATAATCACAGGAAATTTGAAGTGGTGGAAAAGCAAACCGAGCTAAGCTGAATCATACCACAGTGGAAAAGCTACAACAGAGAGAATAACATAACAGAAGAGAACAACTTTTAATTATAAAAAAGACATTCAGATGTTGTTAAATGAACAATCTCAGAGAAATCTAAAATGGCAATAAAATCCATACTTCCTCTCTTCCATACCACCTCACACTGTGAGAACCCCTGTGCTAGGGGGTTTTGCAAACACCATTCAAATGTTTTTTAGAAACCTCAAATCACACATTGGTTTTCAACAAACCGTAGAGAGCATGTATGAAACTATAAAAAAAACACAAATAAAGGCTTTACAGCCTGTTCACGTTTCCTGTATATTTTAAGTACAGTGTTGTAGTTATTTCCCCTGTAAAATTTAACACAGAATATAACCAGCAGCTATAGACTTTCATACATTTCCTCAGTGATATGATGCTGAAAATATAATATAAATGTGCATTTGTTCAAATTCAAGCACCATTCTATTTTTTTATGTGTGCACTTAAGAATGTGGCTGCATCCCATCTCCATTCATATCACAGTTCATCCCTGTATTGTTAAAATAACGCCTGTCGCTTGTTTTTATGCTGACCGCCCCGCAGGATTACTAGCGGCAGAAAGTAGGTGTCACTGCCTGTTCTCTCACAAAGTATAAGTGTATACTATTTTCAAATGAATGCTTTATTTTCTTGGTTTCTAAAGATCACTTTGGTTTGTGTGTGTTCTTGTAAAGGAGCTGTATCACAAGTGCTGGACAGTTTGGAGGAGATCCATGCGCTCACAGACTGCAGTGAGAAAGATCTAGACTTTCTACACAGCGTCTTCCAGGACCATCACCTTCACACATTGCTTGATGTAAGCGACTTTATTTTACGAGTAAACACACTCACACATTAAACCTGTAAATTACAATTAGTTTAAATTACTAGATCATTTTTTTACTGGCATTCACACATTAGTACTAAAATACGTTGATAATTACTACTAAATGATTAAAGCTTCTCCATTTTTTTATTCAACCATAAGAAGCATTTAAATATAACATTTTGTTCAGTTTGCCAACATTTAATTGCGTTAAAGATAACATGATAATACAGAATATGTTTTTGTTCTAAAAACACAAGATGCTTAATAATAGCTATAGTACTGAAGTTACAGTCATCGGCCACTTTATTAGGTACACCTTACTAGTACCATGTTGGCCCGTCTTTTGCCTTCACAACTCCCTTACCGCCTGTGGCATTGATATGATGCTCAAGTGGTACTAATAAGCCCAAAGTGTGCCAAGAAAATATCCCCCACACCATTACACCACCACCACCAGCCTGAACCTTTGATACAAGGCTGGAGGGATTTATGCTTTCACGGTATTGATGACAGATTTTGACCCCACCATCCGAATATCACAGCACAAATTTAAACTCTTCAGACCAGGAAATGATTTTTCCAATCTTTTATAATCCAATTTTGGTGAACCTGTGCGAAATGTAGCCTCAGTTTCCTGTTCTTAGCTTACAGGAGTGACACACGGTGGGGTTTTCTGCTGTTGTAGCCCATCTGCCACAAGGTTGGACGTGTTGTGCATTCAGAGATGCTCTTCGTCATACTTCGGTTGTAACAAGTGGTTATTCGAGTTACTGTTGCCTTTCTATCAGCTCGAACCAGTCTGGCCATTCTCCTCTGACCTCTGGCATCAACAAGGCATTTGCGCCCACAGAACTGCCACTCACTGGATATTTTCTCTTTTTCAGACCATTCTCTGTGAACCCTAGAGATGGTAGTGCGTGAAAATCCCAGTAGATCAACAGTTTCTAAAATACTCAGACCAGCCCATCTGGCACCATCAACCATGCCATGTTCAAAGTCATGTTCTTCCCCTTTCTGATGCTCAGTTTGAACTGCAGCAGATCGTCTACTTGCCTAAATGCATTGAGTTGCTGCCATGTGATTGGCTGATTAGAAATTTGTGCTAACAAGTAGTTGGACAGATGTATTTAATAAAATGGCCGGTGAGTGTATTTTGTATGTAACTGCAGAGCTGTGGCTCTGATGGATGGAAGACAAGGCAGGGTCTCAAAGCAGATGTGGTGCAGGAGTCATACGTCAATCTAATGTATGTTTTATGGGAATAAAACAACACCAGAGGTAAACAGCTCTGAAAGTGTTTTTGCTGTTTATAATTTACTGTTACAGTTTATTCTTACACCTTCTCATTTTGGATTTTTTTTTTATTCGTATCTTTAAAAAGGGCATATTCCTGCATCTAATATCTCTATTTAACAGAAGAAACTCTATGTATAATATGTCGTATAAAGGACTTCCTTTTCACACCACTGGAGCTGATTTTTTTTAAAGATGCTGCTTCATCTTGCTTTAATTATACTTTTTTTTGACCTTTGGAAAAAAGGTCACACTATAACGTTGTTTTTCCTTTTTGCTTTTTTCAAAAGTCAATGCTATTCAATGCTATTTCAGGGTGGTTAGCCAAAATTTCTATTCCAATTCCATTAACTGAGTATTATAAAAGCCATCAACCAATCAGCTGTGTTCGTCTGCTTTTGTCAGATCTAATTTGTTGGCTCTGATTGCAGCTTGTTTTTGCCAATTAAACTTTCTGAATCCCTGTTCAAAGGACTTGGAAAATCAGAGTGAGAGTGTAATCTGATGACTGCTGACTTTGGCTAGTATCTGTCAGATCATTATAGATTAACCTTAAATGGAAAGTATCCCCAAAAATGAAAGTTTACAGTTACAGTGTCTGTTTAATTTGGTGAATAATATGTAGATTTATAGACAGTGTAGTGAGGTTTTCCTTTGCGTTGAATGAAGTCTGCTTTTGCATTAATGTCACGGGAACCACCGCAGCATGCAGCTATGGTCTGCTTCAGCCCAGAGAGACACACCACAGTGCTGATTACATGTACGAGTCGGCATGGACCCTAAACATACCGGATCCATTAAAATTACGCACAAATCTATATTTCAAAACATGGAAATGGTGTGTCAGAGTCAGCATTACTATTTATAGACTGTGGAAGTCATGAGTCTGATGTGCTTGAGCTCAGCAGCTCTGACTTGAAGAGTCGTGTTATAGACTAAATGTGATTGGCTGATTTTTGAAAACAGGAGGGACTGCTTTGTTCTGCCCTGTCTTTTTAAGTTAAGGTTATATCATACATAGAATAAAAATGCTCATTTCAAAGCACTTCACAGAACATTTAAAGAGTTTTTTTGTGGAATCTGTGATCGTTAGTAAAGTTTTGTATAATGCAAGTCACCATGTTTTTGAGATTGGCTATGGATTTGGGCTTGTCTGTATGTATTTATTTTTTATTTAAATGAACTATAACCAGGTGACACAATGGCTCAGTGGTTAGCACTGTTGCCTCACAGCAAGAAGTTCACTGGTTCGAGTCCCTGCTTGCTAGTTGGCATTTCTCTGTGGAGTTTGCATGTTCTCTTTGTGTGGGTTTCCTCCGGTTGCTCTGGTTTCTTTCACAGTCCAAAGACATGCGCTGTAGATGAATTCAATAAGCTAAATTGGTGGTAGTGTATTTGTGTAAATGAGTGTGTATGGGTGTTTCCCAGTACTGGGTTGCAGCTGAAAGGGCATCCACTGTGTAAAACATATGCTGGATGGGTTTGTGGTTCCTTCCACTGTGGCGACCCCAGATGAATAAAGGGGCTAAGCTGAAGGAAAATGAATGAATAAACTATAACCATTGACTGTTGAAAAAAAGCCACTTAGATTAATGAACAGCCATTTTTTTGGTGGATTATCAATTAAACATCGCTACAGGTGTTCACCCCAAAATTAAATTTGCTGGTAATTTTCCATTGATGCATTATAAATCGCCACAATTCAGTTGTGGAAAAGTCTTCTTGGATATCTTGAGGCTGAAAAAACAGCAAATGTTCATTTTTGGGGGGTCTATCTCTATAAGATGATTCATTTTACCTATTGGGCATGGTAAGTTTGACTAGGCAATGACCTGTGTGAGCGAGTTGGATTTGTTTTCTTAATATTTTGATGATTTAATCTTTGTGACTGCGGCTGTGGGCAAACCGCCTACAACCATAATCATTACCCTTCCAATGCCAATATTAATCTTCTTGAAATAATTGGTCTTAACTATCTTTTCTGGGGACCACAGCTGATCGGTCAGTCAGCAGACCAGTTTCAGAATCCCCCTACTGAGCTTCCCTTACTGAGTGTCAACTTTATTTAAGAACTCAATGGACTTTGTTCATGCATTGTCCTTTGTTCATTCATTCCATGTTTGAATGCGTGTCCAAGCACACCCTCCACATCTTGTGTCTTTCAGTATTATGGAGTTTTGTGTGGTTGTGAATAAGTGCAGCTGTGGACTTTAGTTTGGTGTGTGTGTGTTCTGTATAATGTGCATGATAGGGCCTTTCTCCATAGCCAGAGGAAAGCAGAGAGCAGGACACTATGCTTACGCCAGTGCTCTGTGGGTAAGATTATCACCAGGATGCTGTCAATGTATGTCGTCCCATTGAAAACTCAACTCCCAGCCTCAATAGGGAGGGAAAACAATAGCACCTATTGTCAGCATCTATACTTTTTCACTGTTGTGGCTTTAGCAAGGGTCTGTTCATCAGAATAACTAGTCTTTAGTTTGTCATCCTCTGCATTTAAGCTCTGAGGGAAACTTTACCTTCATGAAACAGCAAGACAGACGGGTTGAAATCCTATCAGGACCAACTTTGGCTGAAGTTTAGCTTTGGTTGTTGGTTTGGTCTTTGGTAAGTACCTTGGGATATTTTCATTCATTGCTGCTGAGGTGTAGCAGTGCTTTGCTCTATGATGTTTTAAAAAGCTCTGCTGAAACGGTGTCTGTTTGTGAAATGTAGAGTGAAACATTTCACAATACAAAAAGCGCACTAAAAATATGTCATAGAATATGTGATAGAGGTGTACTATTTTTTTCTGTAATCTCACTTGCTCTGTGAAGGTTGATACTTGGGCTCTCATCCTGGTAGATATCACTGAACAGCTTTCTATTCCAGGATGTGATTTTGTGGGATTACTATAACTCACTAATGCATGTATAATTTGTATACTTGATTAGACTAAGCAGTATTATTTACTATTATTATTTCTGGTGGATTACTAACTTGCGTTGTCTACATTTGTAAGTTTGCTAAATCATGAAATGTAAAGAAAAGTGTGGACCAAAAATGGGAATTATGTTATTATTACTCACTCTCTACTCATTCCAAACCTGAGACACTTGCTTTTGTTAAACACATGCAACATATATTTTGAAGAAAGCCATCCACTTAATATGGATTTCAATGCCTACCAGTTTACAACATTTTTCATAATATATTATTTTGTGTTCAGCAGAAGAAAAAAAACTAAAGGTTTAGAGCCACTTGAACATGAGTAAATAGTGAGTCGATTTTTATTTTTAGGAGAACTATCCCTTCAAAATCTTATTCATTCTCATCCACACTAGTAGCAAATTTTTACATTGTACCCAAATTAAAATTAGTTTGTTATTAAGTGTTGATTATTATGTTCTTCTAAGACTTGTATAGCTTTAAGACAAGGAAGATTTGTGAAAGGATCTTAATGCATGGTGGTTAGGGGTGTGAACCTACACTGGTCTCACGGTTCGGTTACGATTATCATGCCTTCGATTCAGTTCAATTCGATATCCCGGTGCATTGACGATGCTTTCCATACTTAATTCGATTTTTTCTTCACAACACAAGAATTTTTTTATTTTTTATTAAAATGTATAGATACTTTAATATGTATATTCTATTTGTAATACAATTATGTCCTTTAATACAAGCAGTAAGATATATGAACTGTACCCTTAATTTGACCTGCTTAAAGAAAACACTCTTTTTGAATGTTCAATTCAATTCAATTCAATTCATTTAATGTATTAAATAAAACTCCAATACATGCACACAGAACAACATGAGCATTTATAGTAAATAAGCTCATGTAAATGTTATCCCACTTGCTTTTTGAGCGCTGTCAAATGAGGTCTTACACCCTTATGACTGGTCATTGCTTTCACCCGCTCAACAAAAAGCGCTGTTCACCAATGAGTGACGAAGGAAGAACAGCCGCGGTTACAGTCTATATGGACATATTTACGCTGTTATCACAAGTAATACTATAATAATAGACACAGTGGAGAAAAATTCCCTCCAACTCAGGCATGCTCATGTCTGGATCCACAAGTATCGCTATAACAGCCAAGAAGAGGAAATGAAAAGTTACCTCACAAATACACTAGCGGGTAAAATGTCCATAGTGAGAGAGAGAGACAGGGGCAGAGATGGATTTGTAGCCGCTCGTGTGCTGTCAAAAGCAAGACTCACAACCAGTTGAACTGTGCATAATTATCTACCTTTTAGGTAGTAGAAGCGTTTTGCTTACTAGCCCTCGCCTCCTTCGCCATAGTATTCTACTGCGACATCGTGCATAGGAGATAAATGATCTCAGTATGTAATAACCGGTTATGCTTTATTACTGAATCGATATGGAATCGTCCCCGTCTGCATCGCGGTGCACTGAAAAAACAATTAATTTTGACAACCCTAATGGTGGTGTTGTTTTTGTTTGTAAGCCAATGTTGGAATATTGAATCAATTCCATGCATGGTGAATAAAAAAGGTCAGAAAAGGGCTTTCTTCAATGTAAAAAATCATAACAATTTATTGGATACAAATGAATACTTTCATTCACAGAAATCTGTTATCCTCAATGCAATTAAAAAATTACATTCAGGAGGTGTGCAGCAATTTTCATTTCCTGACTTCAGCTTATATAAGCAGCTGAGATTAACAGGTGGAGTTTAGTGAAATTTGTTAATCATTCTCCAGTCCTCCAATGGCCGCACCCATACATTAGTCCCTTTTTTCTATGAATTCTCTGCACAACATTAAAAGCATAAGACTTTCTTTGTCTTGTGGTCAGTTTTAACACCTTTCTTCAGACAGGATGTTTTTGAAGAGCTAAATTTAATTTTGGAACAGTATTTATCTGCTTCTGCAAAAATGCAAATTGGTATGCACAGCATCCCACACACAACAGTAAGTTCATTTGATATATGACCCTTATACATGACCTATACAAATAATTGTTTGAGGAAAAGTTTGATGGAAAGAGACAAAAATGACAAAAAATACATTCCAACACCAAATATATCTATACATTTTGAAATGTAAAATTCATTCATTCATTCATTTTCCTCTGGCTTAGTCTCTTTATTAACCAGGGGTCACCACAGCGCAATGAACTGCCAACTTATCCAGTGTTACATCCCTTCTGTTGTTTTATTTAATGGTCAAGGGGGAACAATAAGGAAACCATTGAGCCTGTTGAAATTATTGTTGTCATTTAAAATAGATGAGGAACAACAAGACATGAAAGTGCTATTTCAATGAACTTGTTTATTATAAACAAGCTGTGGAAGTTTCACACAAAAGTTGTTATAAGAAATAAGACAATAATTTCACACACAAAAAAATAACCAAGTTTAACAGACATAAGGAGGACAAAGGGAACGGGAATGTTCCAAACAAAAAGAAAAGAATACAGCAAAAATCAACTAACTAACCCATTTAACTTTTCCTCTGGAACTACAAAAAAAAACAAAAAGTAAACCTTCAATGCCCAAGACGTCGTATCTTACATACTTTCTCCTTTTAAAGCAAAAATTACAAATGTGGCACAATGCCTATGATGTATAAATAAAAGAATTCTGCTTGTGCTCCTTGTACATCATGTGACAGAGCTTACCTATCCCCTTTCCTCCATCTAGAATTATACACAGATACGATGTTCACACAACATTTCAGTATTACATTGCATACAAAGCACACCGACAAAAGTTAATCAAACACTGGTTGATCAAAGCAAAAGGGGAAGAAACACACACACGCACACAAAACAAATGTCAAACACAGCTCAAGTTCACACTAAATGGCAGCTTTCCTGAACTGATGCAGCATTTTCCTTACATAGTGTCTCACCGCCCTGCAGCGCAACAATTGGGGCTCTTTTCAATTGCATCATCGCATGTCAGTCCATGGCGCTCAAGGGGACACTACACTGTCAGTGGGCGCCGTCTTTCGGATAAGACGTTAAACCGAGGTCCTGACTCTCTGTGGTCATTAAAAATCCCATGGCACTTCTCGTGAAAGAGCAGGGGTGTAACCCCGGTGTCCTGGCCAAAGTCCCTCTATCGGCCCTTATGATCATGGCCTTCCAATCATCCCCTTCCACCGAATTGGCTCGATCATTGTCTCTCCTCTCCACCAATAGCTGGTGTGTGGTGAGCGCACTGGCGCCGTTGTCCTGTGGCTGCTGTCGCATCATCCAAGTGGATGCTGCACACTGGTGGTGGTGTGGAGAGACCCCCCTCATGATTGTAAAGCGCTTTGGGTGTATGGCCATACACAATAAATGCGCTATATAAATACACATTACATATGTTTTACAGAGAAGGCCCTTTCATGCTGCAACCCAGTACTGGGAAACATCCATACACACTCTATTCACACACGTACACTACGGCCAATTTAGTTTATTCAATTAGCACATGTCTTTGGACTGTGGGGAAAACCGGAACAGAATGTACAATTCTATACTTTATATTTCAATATTAATACATCTTAATGTAGAGCAATGTTTTGCTTTTCTGAAAGCTTTGCTGAAACCGTCGACTTGTGAAAAAATAAAGAACTAGTAAGACGTTCTCAGGATTTACAAACAGCATGTTAAACCTTTAGTGTAAGTGAGATCAAGTTCCTTTTTCTGTAATTTGTTCATTTATTTTTGTATTTTCCCTTTTTTTTTAGCTGTATGACAAGATAAACACCAAGTCGTCACCGCAAATCAGGAATCCTTCGAGTGACGCAGTTCAGAGAGCCAAAGAGGTGAGTGCAGGCTATAGTTACAGCCTTTGGAGTTGCAAAATAAAATGAGGTTTAAAAAGGTCCCTTGCATGTTTGACGATTAAAAATGATCTTAAATTTAACTTAAAATGATGTCTGTTCGCATGTAATATGAAAATATGAAATTTGATGTCTCCTTGCAGCATAAAAAACATTGTCATTGTGTCTGAGAACTTAATGGAATCATAATTAGATGGTTTATCTTGCATTTTTTTCTTCAGTTTTCAAAATGTGCATTTTTATATGTGTTTATCAAACTATTTTTCGGTGTATAACCTCATTTTTCTTATTAATATTCTGTGTAGTTTTTATTTTCATTTAACATCTCATCAGGGTGACTCGCTGCATGACGTACTCACACCTTGGCTTTCCTAGAATCAACATTTTTTGAATGCAGATTTCTGTCTTTTATTTTCTCTCTTCTTCTTTGGGACTTTAAAGTATCATGGTGCTCGAGCATTTGTTCCACAATTATTTATAAACCAGGAAGAGATATTGTCATATTATATATGTCAGGTGATGGCATGCATCAAAACATTTCACAAAGGATGGTCCTACAAATGCTAGCTTTTCAAATTAAGGATAAGTTATAATAGTTGTGTTTGTAGTCATACTGTTTTTTGTTTGTATCTGGTATTTAGACAGAGAGGTCTATTTTGACTCTTAAGAATATTTAAGCTCAGTGTAAAATTTATTTGACATTTACAAATTCCTAGTGGTCTGTTGCTTGTGTGAACACATGCTTTTTTCTGCCTAGTCAATTAGAAAGCATTTAAACAAGCTGCAGTTAGAAAATGACATTTGGTTGTTTGCAGTGGTCTAAAAAAGTCAACTAACAAAATGATGATGACTCAGTGGTGTTCTTTTTTTAATCGCCCTTCTTGCTTAAGTGCTAAAAAGATTATTTTGGTTAACAGAGACTGACATGATGCTTGTAATCAAAATTAATTTGAGAAAGTGAAAATGCATTTAGCGTGGTGAGCTGTATGAGGCTGTATGTTTGATGTGTGACTGATATGACTTGATGTGTGAGTGAGTGATATTTTCTCTATTTTCGTTTGCACTGAAACTAGGCAAAATCCTCACTGATAACCAAAACACACAGTGACTAGTTATGCTAATGTTTGTATTTCCTCCTTAACACACTAAATTAAGATATAGCAAACTCCGTTAATCCCAAGATCCAATAACATTTAAACAATATTCCCTTGCTGGCTATAAGGCATAAAGACACTGATCTAGTGTTTTGCATAAGCAGCTCATGTGATGGCTATCTTGGCTATCATTTAGATTTTCATCATAACACAGATGAGAAGTTTTATGAGAGCTGTAGTTCTCCATGTCACCTGTACTTTTTTTTTCTTTGAAGTGAAATAGTTTACAAATACTATTTAATATCAGCTTCAGTTGATTCTGTTAGTGAATCAATACTGCATCAACTTGCAAATTAGCCAACTGGGCTATTTTGAATATGTCAGCAAATCCTATCCAGCTCTTATCAGATAACCTTGATCAAACAGATGTGTTAAAGGCATAGTTCACCCACAAATTTTAATTCTAGATATCCTGCACATTCATGTCATTATAAACTTGTAAGACAGTAAAATCTTTGAAACGCATCCATTTAACAAACATTCTTTTGTTTGTGCATTTAAGGTGAAGGAAAGCAAAACATATGATCCAAAAAGACATGGTCAATGGAATCTATTTATATCTAAAGGTGCTGTGTGTAAGTTTTTGACTCGTCTAAAGCCTGAAAATACCATACTATGTTTGCAGATATTTAGGAAACATGCCAAGTGAACATTTTTGTTTATCTGAAGAACAATGCTGAAGTCAGATATTATGCTTTAAAAAGTGTGTTATGGGCCAGAATGGCTGTCTTTGTTTTGGTTCTTTTCTGCTACTTGGACTGTAGCAGACTCCAAAATGAGATGAAGATTCAGAGTTCCACATGAGGGGGTTATTAATTAACAAATAATATAAATATTACCAACGTAAACATTAGATGAGCAGGTTACATAACCCTGTGACCTAGCAACATGCTTCATGATGAGATAAGCAGTGATAAACAATTTGGCTGTTAGACGAAGCACGACAGAAATTTAAATACAGCCATTCAGAAGCACAAAATATGCACTCACTCTTGAAATTGTAAGGTTTATAATCTAATGCTGAATCACTGATGTGTTTAGTTCTAAAGTTCCATTTCAAAGGGTTTATTTTATGTTCAAGATCTGAGGTGAACTATCTGCTGCTGCTTTTAGTATATGGCAATAAATGTCATGTATAATGGCATTCAAACTCACATTTTTTGCATTTAACACTGAATAAAGCACATGAGGTGTACCTGAGGTGGCCATTGTCAGTTTTCTATTCACCTTTGAGAAATAGAAGCCGTTTCTAGTATATCAATTTGAGGTTTTGGTTAGGATAACTCCTTTTAATATGGAAAATATTCCTTCTATCAGGTGCCGTTGCTTTTATTTAGAACCAGATTCAAATTAGCCTTGTTGGTCCGCAATCTGCACTTGCGTTTGTTTTGATCCAGGAGTGCAATACCTAGTTCAACCACTGGGTGAAAAACTTGCATACTGCACCTTTAACCAAATAAAAAAAAAAGCTAATTAAAATGGGTTCTATAAAGTGACTATATTTGTTTACAAGGCTTGTATTAAACTATTTTACAATGCCATTGAAGTGGCAATAATAATTAAAAATATCTTTGTGATTCATTAATTAACCCAAGTCTCACCGAGATCCATTTTTGGAAGAACTGTTCCTTTAAAGGTTCCATCTTTAAGTTCCCATAAAGATGAAAGTAATCTCAGTTTGGATGATCTGAACCACCTGGATACTCTAACATAATCAAGTAGATTTCATTGTAGCGTAATTCTAGATTACAGTTTTCAGTTTCTTACAGTTCTCAATATTTCTCAGTGTTCCTATTAACTCCCTCTAAAGCAGGTCTGTCTCATTTACAAGTCACACAATCTATACAGCTCAGAAACTGCCTTCATTATTACACATCAAAAAGCAACTGAAGCCTGCTGGTGATTAAAGAGCTGCGCTCTGGAATAACCCTCCTTGGCCTCTTGCTTGTGATCACTGGCAATGGTGAAATGCTTAAGGATTATCCTCTTTGTATTGCTTAGAGCCAGCGGGGCGGAAACTAACCCATCACCTCTCACTGTTTTCCCTGAGCGACTGAAACTTGCCGAGGTGGCGTCATGCCAACCTCCCAAAATCAGCTGCTTCTTACACATATAATATTTACCCAATGTTAAAAAACTCTCCTGTGTGTGTCTCTCACGCTAAGACCTCCACCGAAGACGGGTCGAGCGCAGCCTTGAAACATCTGGAATATGTAAGCTGCAGACATTTTCCCAATCTCATGTCCACTTCTTTAATTCTTTTGAACCACTTCTGTAGAACATGTGGAGATTTTCTAGCATCGCAGAGTCTTGTAAATGTCTGAGCCCTACATGTAGTGATTCTGACCATCAGTGAGGGTCTGCCAGGTGGGTTTAAACGTTGCTTAGAGCTCATTAGAGATGATTAGTGTGCTTCAAAAGACGTCCAGGTTCCGGCTCTCAGCAGCATTCAGCGGGGAGTTGTGACATATCTGCAGTACTGTGCCAAATCACCCCCTCCCACCTCTCCCATCCCATCCACCAATGGACGGGGTAAATGAGCCCACACCGCTGTGCTGATTGGTCACATGGGGTCTAAGGGTCATGCCAGACATGTGTGTGTGTGTGTGTGTGTGTCTGTTCTGATATATGATGTGTGGGGTCTCAACAGTTCAGCTCAAACTTGTGTTGCAACGTATAAGATTAAGAAGCCTGCAACTTTATTTACCTCAAGGAATTTGCTTAGCATGGAGATGAGATCCTGAGGAAAACCTGATGACTCTGTCTATCTGTAGGTACTGGAGGAGATTTCATGCTACCCGGAGAATACAGATGCTAAAGAACTGAGACGGATCCTAACTCAGCCTCATTTCATGGTGAGTCACAGCAGAAATGCTTTACAAAATGCTTTATAGAGTCATGAAATCAGAATTAAGCCCATTTACTTGATAAATCCTTATTCTTGGATTTGTTGCGAGGGATTAATTGTTGCATTTTTTTATTGGCAAACTTGCTTATCAGATAACCTTGATCAAACAGATGTGTTAAAGAGATAGTTCACCCATACATTTTAATTCTTGATATCCTGCACATTCATGTCAGTATGAACCTGTAAGACAGTAAAATCTTTGAAACAGAAATAAGCATATTTTTATGGAAGCCCAAGACGATTTTGTTCATCCATTTAAGGTCAGGGCAAGCAAAACACAAAGACATGATCAACTGAATCCATTTATAATTAAGTAAATAGATTAAAAAGCTAATCAAAATGTGTAATATAAAGTGATTATATTTGTTTCCAAGACTTGCATTAAACTATTTTACAATGTTATTAAAATGAATATTTCATTGAAGTGTGATACTGTTTTTTCTCATTTTTATGAATATTTTGGTCATTGTTTTAGCAAAGCTCACGTTTAGTCTGTTTACATTCTAATGCTGAATACTGATACACTGCAAAAAAAATATTTTCTTACTTAGATTTTTTTGTCTTGTTTCTAGTCCAAATATCTAAAAATTCTTAAATCAAGAAGAATTTTCTAGACAAGCAAAACATATTGTCTTGTTTTGAGAAATAATGAGTTTTTCTTTAAAACAAGCACAGTAATCTGCCAATGAGGTAAACAAAATAATCTTATGTCAGAAGGAAAACAAGATTATTTTGCTTACCCCATTGGAAGATTATTTTGCTTGTTTTAAGGAAAAACTCATTTAGTATTGGCATATTATTTCCTAAAACAAAACAATATGTTTTGCTTGCCTAGGAAATAGCTTCTAAATGCTTCTTGTGTGAAGAATGTTTAGATATTTGGACTAGAAACAATACAAAAAAAATCTAAGTAAGAAAATCTTTTTTTTTTTTTTTTGCAGCGTAATGACTTTTCTCCATCTAAGACTATTTAACCTTATAATATCCTGCTGGAATTTACAACTTCTAACATTGATTTTACATTTAAATGAATTTGTTATTTATTTTTTATATAAAATACAGTAAAAATTATGCTTCAACTAAATGCAAAAACATAACGATAGTGAATGTCACATATAAAAGTAAAATAGTTTGTGAACAAGCTCTTTTTATCAATGTCAGATATCAATGCTTACATGAAATGACAAACACCACCTAGCTTGATTACATTACTGTCAGGAAAACCTCCTTTGAGATCTTCAATAGTGTCTTCATGTGGTTCATTTATTTATTCAGGATGCTGTCCGTGCTCATGTGGTTTCACCATCTCAGTCTTTCCAATCTGTTTTTGTACCCCTCTTCTATAATCAATGAGGTATTTGTCAGTTGTCTGCTTGGTGCATTATTCCTCTGCTCTTATCAGCGGGACAAACAACCTCATGACAGATGAAGCAGAGTTTGCCCTTTGCTCCATGCTGACTTCTTAGCAGCAATGTTCATCTGAGAGATTTGTTTAGCCGACTGGAATCCTCTTTTTTTTGCAGTCAGAATTTATTTTCAAGGGTCATTTAATTATAAATTATTTTCACCATTCCAGTAAAACAGCATATATTGTAACTTTAAGACTTGTGAACCTCCTCCCAGTCCAAAGATTTACTAAATTTACTAAAAGTTTAATATCACATCATTCTACAGGCTTATCTAGTCTGGGCTGATGGCGAGGGTGAGAATTGCTAACTGAATTAAAAGCAGAACAAGTGGAAAATTGTTTTCCTCAACGTGTGTAAAGGTTAAATGGGAAACAATGAATATGTAAAATGCTCTTTAGTTTGATGTGGATTGGAGGGACTTATATGGGGCTTTTTACAATGTTTTACTTCCACTTGAGCTGGGGATTTAGTACAGAACTGAGAAAACATGAAGAGGGAACGACGGCTTTTTGAGGAAAGCAGTCAGGAAGGACTTATGCATGAGTAAACAATACTGGAGCGATGTCAGCATCACTAACTCCGACAGCCAAGTCAAGAGCGTGTGTGTGTGTGTGTGTGTGTGTGTGTGTGTGTGTGTGTGTGTGTGTGTGTGTGTGTGTGTGTGTGTGTGTGTGTGTGTGTGTGCACGAGTGGTGAGGGGGCAGAAAAGAAAAAAAAACACTCGGAAGGAAGGAGAGAGGTACCATCAGGTACTGGCTGTCAGATTCCAGCATGACTTAGCTCTTGATGCTTTCTCACACTTTCATAATTACACAAAGATTAATGTAAGAAGATGAGCGGGTGAGAAAAGAGAAGTGTGGTGCTTCTTGATTTTATGTATCCAGTTGATGTTTCTTTTTGCTTTAAATAAACTAATAAAAACTGACTTTTTAGGGTTTTGGGACAGTAAGAATGAAATAAGTTAATACTTTTATTCGGCATGCATAAGCTAAATTTATTAAAATAAAGAAGTCTATTACACTGATGCAAATAAATTTGTATAAAACACCTTTATTAAAGGATATTGACAGTATCACTGATTCAGTAAAGATGTTATGCAAAGCAGTTGTATAATTGTTAATAATGAGAAATGATTCTGGAGCCCCAAATCAGCTTATACAAATAATTTCTGAAGAATCATGTGACTAAAAATTGTTGAAAATGTAGCCTTTTATCAAAGAAATCCATCTTTATTACAAATTATATTAAAATATTAAAAATATTGTTAAATATTGTTATTATTATATTCATTCATTCATTTTCTTTCAGACTTAGTTTCTATATTAATTTGGGGTCGCCAAAGTGGAATGAACCGCTATCTTATCCAGCACGTTTTTACAAAGTGGATGCGCTTCCAGCCGCAACCCATCTCTGGGACACATCCACACACACTCATTCACACTCATACACTATGGACAATTTAGCCTACCCAATTCACCTGCACCGCATGTCTTTGGACTGTGGTGAAAACCGGAGCACCTGGAGGAAACCCACGCGAACGCAGGAAAAACATGCAAACTCCACACAGAAATGCCAACTGAACCAGCCGAGGCTCGAACCAGTGACCTTCTTGCTCTAAGGCGACAGCACTACCTACTGCGCCACTGCGTCACCTTTTATCATTATAAATGATTATATTTTTACTGTGTTCTCACCGTGTTGGCGTGGGTTTTGCAGGTGATCCGGTTTCCCTCACAGTCCATAGACATGCGCTATAGGTGAACTGAATAAACAAAATTGGCCGTAGTGTATGTGTGTGAGCGTGTATGGGTGTTTCCCAGTACTGGGTTGCAGATGGAAGGGCATCTACTGTGTCAAACATATGCTGGATAACTTGGCGGTTCATTATGTGTGGTGACCCCTGATGAATAAAGGGACTAAGTAGAAGGAAAATGAATAAATGAATGAAGGAAGGAAGGAAGAAAGAAAGGAAGGAAGGAATATTTTTTCCTGTAATTTTGATTTAATAAGTGCAGCTTTGGTGAATTGTTTTCTAAAAACATTTAAAAATCTTGCTTTAATCTTTTCAAGAAAGCATGAGTGGTGCTTTAACAACTTGCTGCCTTGATTGGTTGCCAAGGTATTACACTTTGATTGCTAAGGTGATTAGAGTGGATTTCAGTGCCTTACTATGCTTTTGTTTGTGTGGTATGTGTATTATTTACTAGCTGGTTGCTCACTAGCTCAGGCACCTTCACTACTTATCCATTATAATTTTGTCGCATTTCTCTTTCAGGCCTTACTTCAAACTCATGATGTTGTGGCACATGAGGTGTACAGTGACGATGCAATGAGGGTCACCCCTCCCCCCACATCGCCATACCTCAACGGAGACTCACCAGAAAGCACGAACGGAGACATGGACATCGAAAACGTCACACGAGTGCGTCTTGTTCAGTTCCAAAAGAACACAGATGAACCAATGGTATGAGTGCACCCACACACTTTCGAAAACATTTCTCAAATACTCCACTTCATTTAGCTACGCTTTAAACTTCAGAGTGTGGGTTAACTCCACTCTCAAAAAAGTTGTGAGAACTGGCACACATTTAGCCCACCCTTGCTGATGGTTTCGTTGATTAAGCTCTCACTGTGTTTATAGTTCAAGTTCACATTTTAATCAAACTTCCTGACTGAATGTGGTTAAAAATGAGTTTATGGTAACTTTTTCAGGGCATCACATTGAAAATGAATGACCTGAACCACTGCATCGTAGCAAGAATAATGCATGGAGGAATGATTCACAGACAAGGTACATGCACCAGATTGTTTTCCCTTAAATCCTGCTTGTGTTTAAAACGTATCCTCACATTGCTTCAGATTCACCTCCTCTGGGTTTCTCCTATATATCAATTTCTCTGTATGCACTTGATGAACTAATATGAATACGATGCCATCAGTTATTCCCCACAGCAGAACACATATTTCCACATGGCAGGGTTGAGAGTTTTATATTATCGGCCTATGATGGGCAGATTGCACATTCCCTTAGAACTTAACATCATCGTGATAATGGCCATAACCACATGCCACATACACACGCCACCATTATCTATTTGCAGCTTGCAAACCGAATAAGCTTATGTACTTGAAGATCTCAAACTGTGAAATTAGACTAGAATGAAATTTGATTTCCTGTTTTGAAATGTACTAATGCATGAAACCTCTCACCTCAAATTAGGAACTTTACACATTGGAGACGAGATCCGGGAGATCAACGGTATAAGTGTAGCAAATCAAACAGTGGAGCAGCTTCAGAAAATGCTTGTGAGTAGTAATATATTTAGAATCTCTTCTCTTCTAATAGGGAATAGTTTATGCAACAATGTACATTTTGTCTTCAGTAGCTACATTTCCATCCATCTATTCTTATGTGCATTTTGGATATGCCCATTAAAAAACTGTTGATGGAAACCGTAAGATGCACATAAATTTTGAAAATGCGCTTAACTGAGCAGGATAAATTTTTTATTCGGTGAGAAAAGATGCGCATGAGCCTTGATCGAAACACCTTTACCGAAGAAATCCCTGTATGTACATAAAAAGTCATGTAATTTAGTTATAAGAGATCATATGATGATAAAAATTTGTGTGAATGGACAAACCAGCAGGCTAAGCACATTGTAAAACATCTGAAAGGTCATTCTAGAACACCTTAATCAATTGATTTATTAAATAAAGAAAAGATTCATGCAGCTTCTCCTACCTCAGCAAATAACTAATATTTGGCAGCCAGTTAATGATTTTGTTAATGAAGCGATGATTTTGTTCTCTTTTACTCGTTGGATAGAAACAGTGCTTTTTTTGCACGCCTTTTATGCTATATTTCAGTTTTGCGCATAAATTTAATTTGAATCTTTGGATGGAAACATAGCTATTTTCTCACCCTCATGTTATTCGAACTATGATTTCTATTCTTTTATGGAGCACAACTGGAGTTGTCTAGCAAAATCCCCAGACCACACAAATTAATTATAAATGAATACACATACAGTAGATATTTTACAGAAACATGTAAAGTGGTGTAAAAAAACTGTCTGCCCCTTACTAATTGATTTCAATTTTTTTTTTTTCATCAACAAGGGAAAACACCTAATCCAAAACTGCATAGCCCTGTGTGAATACATGACAAACATGGAAAAAAAACATCAGGGGCTAACACTCATTTACATGCTGATTATTTAATGATCATTTACATTTATTTACAGAAGTATTTTCTTATCATACCTTGAACTCTGCATAAAATAGAAGTTGTCATTTGTTTTGTTCTCTATTCTTAAACCTAGGACAAGCTTGTACAACATGAGGATGTGTAGATGACAAATTTGCAAAACAGCCATTAAGCTTTACCTATCATCATTAATGTAGGCATAATTCACAAAAAATGTACTTTTCTTAATAATTTGCTTTTGTATGTGTGTTGACAGCGGGAGATGAGAGGCAGCATCACCTTTAAGATTGTGCCAAGCTACCGCACGCAGCAGTCGTCCTGTGAGGTAACGGTCCCGGTGGCCTCTGCTCTGTGTCTCTGCCAGTCTCCTCTCTCTCTGCAGTGCTGTGGTTTGCCTCCCTGGCCTATCATTGCCTTGTGTGGTGGGCTTTGATTGCCGTGGACTCTTGTGTGACTAACTGCCTGCCTGATGGCTGCGTGTTAACGCTTTCCTCCCCAAAAGCCTTCATCCTGCTGGACCAAAAGGCCTGGCTCAAACACTACCGCACACCAATTTCGCAACCAAGATACCGGAACCCTCCCTTAAATATTAGCATTTTTAAGGGGAGCTTAGATGTACAATCGACAGGGTTTACAATCGACAAGCAATCAGCGTAATCAATCTGTACCACATTGGGTACAGACATACTATAACTTTTTTAGTTTTGCACTTAATTATGAATAAAGAGTGCTCATATTTCACCTACAATTAAACAGTACATATCTGAAGGAAGATGTTTACACAGAGAGAGATGTGTTGGCTCCTCCTTGTGGTGGGAAGCTGCAGTTGCGGCATCATGTTTCCTTTGCGCAGCTGTAACATTACTGTGCTTTTAATTGTCCGTACAATAACTTTGATCTCTAACAAATCTTTTGGTTTCCCTTACATTATGTCCCCAAGCTTCTTACTGATATGTTGGCTAGTGTTCGTTTGCTCTGCTGTTTCGCTGACCTTTATATCTTATTACAGAAAGAATCCCCTTCCACATCCAGACAGTCCCCTGCTAATGGCCATTCCAGCATTAACAGTTCTATCTTGGTAAGGATCCAAGACAACTTCAAATAACGACCCCTCTTCCCACCCCCCAACAATGTCCTAATGTTGTCTATGATTATTTCACCCCGTTCTTGCAATCATACCCTCCTAATTTGCACTAAATGTTATTAAATTTGTTATGTTTTTTTTTTGTTTTTACTGTTTAGTTTTTTTCTCAAAGTTTTAGTTTTGATCTCAAACTCAAAGCCACTCATTATGTATAGTTTCCGTTATCTCTGTTCACAAATTGGTGTGCTCTGTGCTGCTGTATCCCACTTATTATGACTGCCAGTGTGACTGCTCTTTCTGACGGCACACTGTACAGTGAACGCGGGATCTACTATTCACTTACATATTCCTGTTAAAGAAAGTGATGCATATTTACTGACAGTGGGAGCTTTGATTAGACTAAACTCGGTGGAGGCATGCAAGATTGTGGCTAGGCATGTAGGATTCCTTGCATCCTACTATTCCTAGCATGCATACTGCCTAGCTAATCCAGTGAGATTTGCACTAGCTCTACTTTTGAACTAGGGGTGGGCGATACAAATGCTAAAATGGTGCATCAGTATGAACTTGTCAAATAATTTACATGTAATTTGCATTTCGAGTGTCACTTTGGTTGCTGCATGGCCAGGAATGGGTCATCCTCTGTGGTGTGAAACCGACAAGGTTTCCTGTATATGATTAAGTTTAACATAAGTGTCTAGGTTACTTTTTCAAATAATAATAAAAAATAATAGCAAAAACATGTATAAAATTGAACCTTAAGACACTAAAACACTTGTTTTTGTATTGTTATTTGTTTTGATTTTTGAAAACCTTTCTTCACCCATATATTCCACAAGTACTCTAAGCAATTTTATTGTTGTAGTCACACAAATGTGTTTATTAAAAACTATTATTAAAGTATTTTTTATTAAATATGAATATACAATATCAGGGTGTCTGCAGGGTCTTAAATTTTAAAATCAAAAGGCCTTAAAATATCTTCTCTTTTGAGTACCAGTAGACTGTCTGCTTATTATCTGTTGATACAGCACCTTCCACAGACATTTAACTGACTGTAAAAAACTTTGCAAGTACATGTCAACTTACAGTAATCCTAATCCTAACCCCAACCTAACAGTCTACCTATAGTCTATAGAGAATTAGTTGGCTTGTAGATGCAATGTAACTTATATTCATTAAAATGCAATAAAGGGACCATCAAAATAAAGTGATACTGAACGTTTATGTTGGAAAATAGTGTATGGATACAAGTAGAGCTTGCCTTTTTTACACAATGTTTAACATATTTTGCTAAGAAAAAATGGCCACTGGTGGGAGGCGTGTGTTGGCCTCCCTGCTGAAAAATCCATCTTAAACCAGCCTAAGCTGGTTGGCTGGATTTAGTTGGTCGACCAGCCTGGTTTTAAAGAGGTTTTGGCCATTTTCAGGCTGGTTTCCAGCCATTTCCAGCCAGGTCTTAGCTGGTCAGGCTGTGAGATGACCAGCTAAAACCAGCTTGACCAGCCTAGCCAAGCTGGGAGTCCAGCTAAAACCAGCTATATCCAGCTGAAACCAGGCTGGTCAAGCTGGTTTTAGCTGGATTTGGCTGGTCATTTTTCAGCCTGACCAGCTAAGACCAGGCTGGAAATGGCTTGAAACCAGCCTGGAAATGGCCAAAACCCCTCTAAAACCAGGCTGGTTGACCAGCTAAAACCAGCAAACCAGCCTAGGCTGGTTTAAGCTGGATTTTTCAGCAGGGCAGTGCCCCCACCAGTGCCGATATACAGCCATATTGCACTGCTACGAGTGTGATATTGCGTTTATACAACAGTTTTATTTATATATATATATATATATATATATATATATATATATATATATATAAACAAAATCAAACATGGAGAGTCTCAAAAACCCTTTTGTATGAGGAACTACTTTCTTCTGCCTTGGATTCAGATCATAAGCTGACAGTTAAACAGCTGAGCAAGCATCTTTTAAACTATAGATCTGTATATGTAGTCTGTAGTGTAGTTAAACTTTAGAACTGTAGATCTGCTTTTTGCTGGTTGTATGTGGGCGGAGTAATACACAAAGGGTAAAGAGGCTTTACGGGTGCTGATATTACTTAAATATATATCACTGCTATCAGCCAATCAGATTCAAGAACCAGACAGAACTGTTGTGTGTGTGTGTGTGTATATATATATATATATATATATATATATATATCTATATATATGAGCAATATCACACTCGTAGCAGTGCGATATGGCTGTATATCGGCACTGGTGGGAGGCAAGCGTTGGCACGAGGCCGCAGGCCGAGTGCATTAGTGCCCCATCCAGTGCCGATATACAGCCATATCGCACTGCTACGAGTGTGATATTGTGTTTATACAACAGTTTGATGGCATAATTGTGTATATAAAAACAAAATCAAACATGGAGAGTCTCAAAAACCCTTTTGTATGAGGAACTACTTTCTTCTGGATTCAAATCATAAGCTGACAGTTAAACAGTTGAGCGTGCATCTTTTAAACTTTAGATCTGTAGTGTCTGCGTTTTGCTGGCTGTATGCGGGCGGAGTAATACACAAAGGGTAAAGAGGCTGTAGGTGTTCTGATATTGCAGAATATTGCACGGCTATCTGCCAATCAGATTTGAGAACCAGACAGAACTGTTGTTTATATATATATATATATATATATATATATTTTTTTTTTTTTTCTTTTTTTTTTTTTTTTTTAAATGTATTAAATTATAATAAATTTTGATAGGGCAAATAAATATTAAATAAATGTTTAGCCCTTTATTAGTCTAAAATTTAATTCGTAATGGTCTTAAACAGTCTTAAATTTAACTTGGTGAAACCTGCAGAAACCCTCAATATACTAAAATATAAATCTAACAGTAATATACTAAAACTAATTAAGATTTCCTTAAACTACTTAATTACATTTTATGTGCACTAAAGTAAAGTATAAAATGTGCTTTACATTTGCCGTTACATTTTACTTTGGACAATAATTTCAATTATTTGCAATAACATTTAAGTCAATTCAGTTATGAATATTGTTATTAGCTGTCTTTTTAAAGAATGACGTATATATATATATTTATTATTATTATTATTATTATTATTATAGCCCACCCCTGATATGAACAAAGTGGGACCCTCTTGATGTTTGTTCTTCACAGAGAAGGTTCAGGCTCCACCTCATGAACATTTGCTTGACTGGAGTGTGGTGCTGAAGCTGCCTGCTTGCTCCTTGCTTTCTTGTTTGTTGCTGTTTTGAGAGTTACCACCAAAAGATCTCTTTTCCTTTTAACACACAAAAAAAGTAACTTTCTGGTGGAATTAGCAGTGCTCTTATCCAGTTTTGTCTTATGTTATGTTGAATGTATATTTCTTTTAATTGTTAAAATCTTTTATGAGTCTTTTATCTGTAAATGGTCTTTCACTGCTGGAATTTTCTTTACAGGACTTGCCGTCGACCATTCAGCCAAAAGGACGCCAGGTGAATAGAGCATCCATCACTCTTTCCCTCTGTTGACTAGTGCTTTTCCATGATGCTTTTGTGACTGAAAATGTTAGTGATAGTCACTGCTATTAACATCCAGCTTCAAACATTTCATTCACTAACACCATTCCCCAATCTTTACTCTGTGTAATTGTTGGTAGTTGTAATCGTAGTATTAGATATTTAGCTAAAGATATCTAAATATGAAAAAGTGTTCACCAAAAAGCCATTTTTGCTTCTTTTACAATGCAAACCAACACAAAGGCTTGCTTATGTTTTCCCCCTTTTTCCTTTTCTTTTTTTTTGGAGTGAGCAACACCACAAAACAGAGTAACCTAATCTCATTTAAACCAAGCTCAAAGTTAAAGCATGGATCAAGTATTCCACGGGGGTGCATCTGTCCTGTAAAATATTTCAGGGCAAAAGTGGTGTGTTTTTCCTTTCACATCTTGTCTAGATCAGTGGTTCTCAATTGGTTTGGCCATGGGACCTACATTTTTACATGGTCATCATGCCGCGACCCAAATGTTTAGGAACTAAAATATAATTATAGGAATTATAATTCATTTGTATTTATTTGTTAATTTACACAAGTAGTGACAGATAAATCAAAATGTATCAAATTATAGTAATATTTCAGAGTAAAAACGTCAAATACTGTAAACAGTGGATAGTGTAAGGAAAAGTTCAGTTACCATTAACTAAACTGAACTGTTAATAAAGCATTAACACTAATCGTATTGAGCAGAACAAACCAGCAAATTAAAGTAAAATGATTAAAATGATCATAACCATTTTTATAATAATCACCAGTTATTTGCTCTTCTGCTATTGTATTGGCTTTCTTGGCCTTTGCTACATGGTGAGTACAGTAAGATGCTCGGAGTGCCTGTACTTGTTTTGAACATGAAGATGTTAGGCACTTTTGTGATGCCTTCAGCTTTTGGAGTCATCTTTAAAAATAGTCCAGAGGTTTGTCCTTGCAACTGGGATGATTGGTTTCTAAATGTCATTTTAATTTAGAAGGTTTCATGCTCTCTTGTGAGAGCACCTCACTACATATGACACACTGAGGTTTTAAGCCTTTTTTGTCATCAATATATGTAAATCCATACTTTACATATTCAGTGTCGTACTTCGACATATTTGTTGCTATAATTTAACGAAATTTTTCATGTCAAACGGTACGTTTGTCGCACGTGCATTTCAAACTAAAAGTCCGATATAAGCAAAATTAGTTTAAAATTAAACTTTTGTTGTTTTTTTAATCACACACTCTGCAACCCACTAAAAAAGTTCCAGGTCACGGCCCACCAGTTGAGAAACACTGCTCTAGATTATCCTGCGAATTATCAAATGTACACATTTATCGTGTATGGCCATACAGCCAAAGCGCTTCTCAATCATGAGGGGGTCTCTCCACACCACCAGCAGTGTGCAGCATCCACTTGGATGACGTGACGGCTGCCACAGGACAATGGCGCCAGTGCGTTCACCACACTCCAGCTATTGGTGGAGTGGAGAGGCAGTGATAGAGCCAATTCAGTGGTATAAAGTTATAACGTTTTTTCATATTTAAGTTTTTTCTTATAGGGATAATTCACCCAAAAATTTAATTTTAATATATAAATGACTAAACTTTTACTTTTCAAACTTTTGAGTTGTTTTTTTTTTTGCTGTTAAACACAAAAGAAAATATTTTGAAGAATGCTGAAGACATGTAACCATTGACTTCCATATTGTTTTCCCTACTGTGGAAGTCTTTGATTACAGGTTTCAGCTTTCTTTAAAGTATTGTCTTCTGTGTTTTACAGAAGATAGGAAAGGTTTAAAGCCACTTGAGGATGAGTAAATACTGAGTACATTTTAATTTTTGGGTGAACTATTCCTTTATCACTGAGAAATAGAAAGAGAGACAGGCGGTCAGCAGAGGGCGCCATATGCCAGCACTAGTCTGTCTGTGTTGTCTGAAATGCGTCACTGAGTGCTATAAAAGATCTACTCGGTTACAACTGATAATATCAGCGTGATGTGACTGACATCTCCACCTGGCTTTGTTCCTTATTATCATCAACCCATAACTATCCCAAACGTAGGCTTCGTAGTTGCATTCTCCATCTCACCAACCCCTGGTCACAGTGCCGTACTAATGCCGCCACAGTGCTGTGATGTTGCATGATGTTTGTAATACTCTCATGCCCTAGATCTCCAGACCTCCAATCAAGGATAAATTTTCCATCAAGGTAAGATTTTAAAGAATGAGCCCAATCCACTGCTCTGAAAAACAAAAACTGTTGTGTAATCATTTAAGTCCAAATGTAGCAAGGGACTCAAAACAACTACGTCATCGTTCTTGAAAAATATAACGTTAGGCTTGATCCAATACTTTATACTTAAATGCCCCTTTAGGTCAATCTAATGTATCTTTATTTAACGCGGGAATCACACACCACTGTTCCCTCAGACTATAGGCCAGCGAGGTCTTCGTCACATAACTCACACTCATACACACCTTCATGCATCATCTGTATTTGCCACTGCACTCAGGTTTCATACCGTTCAAGCATGCCTCTCATCGCAGCTATAACCTGATCTTGTACCCTGACCTCCAGTGGTACCTTGAACTCTTCTTATACCCTGAACTCCTCTATCTAACAGTCCTTTCCTTTGCTATGTCTGCTTTCATAGGGCTTTTCTGACTTCTGTTGATGATGTCTCTTCTCAGATTTATGTACGAGCACAGTTCGAGTATGACCCGGTAAAAGATGACCTCATCCCCTGTAAAGAGGCCGGGATTCGCTTCAGAGTGGGTGACATAATCCAGATTATCAACAAAGATGACCATAACTGGTGGCAGGGCAAGCTGGAGAACACCAAGAATGGCACAGCGGGGCTCATTCCCTCCCCAGAACTCCAGGAGTGGTGAGTTTGATCCTGTCCTAGAGCAGAATGACCACTTGAATCATTTCTTTCATTTGTACGATGGAAGCCAGAAGATTGTGATTGGCTGCTCCTGTTGGAGGAGGGACAGAAGATGCAGTTGAATGCAAGTCGCTCTCAGTATGATTTAAAAGCACTTAATGATGCACTGCCATCAAGGCCGACAGTTATGCTGCGCACTCACCACATGTTTCTTTTGTTTGTTTTGTTCTAGGCGGGTGGCCTGTATAGCCATGGAGAAAACAAAGCAAGAACAGCAGGCGAGCTGTACTTGGTTTGGCAAGAAAAAAAAGCAGTACAAAGACAAATACCTAGCAAAGCACAACGCAGGTAGAGTTTAAAATGGGGTTTCCTCTTCTTCTCTCTTCAAACAAACATAAAAAACTACATGCTGGTCAATCAGCTCTTCCTTATTAGTAATCTTTAATGTGACCCATAAAAAAAGAGTAAAGGCCCAATCACACCGAGAATGATAGCTATAACAATAACTCAGACTAGCACATAAACAAAGAGTGCATATATGCATTCGCAGTACAGTTTTGACAGATGACGCTATCATTAAAATGAATGATTTCTGACTGATTTTCAATGCTTTTATTACTCTTCAGCTAGTATTGTTTTAAAGTGATTATCAAATCATATTTTAATAAAGATGTGCTGAAGAAGTTTTATCATAGAATTTGATCAGTTATTAAAACTTTGTTTTTTGTTATTGTTATGGTTATCACCTCAATGTGAACAGTCTTTAAGGTTGAATAAGCCTTTATGATTATCAAGTGTACTGTTTACCATTAACCTCCAGAGCAGGAAATATGTTTTGAAAGTCATGCTTGATACTTGGAAGTAGAGTGACTGTTGAGATGTGGATGTATGATGTCACATAAACATGCTGGCTCCTGGGGAGATGAACTGATACACAATTAATGGTTAATGGTAAACATTTGTTTTTAAGACCTTAATCTTTAAAGCCTGTCTTGCGGATGCCAGTGTGAAACACATTACAATCTTTATATATATATATATATATATATATATATATATATATATATATATATATATATATATATATATATATATATATATATATATATATAGTTGAAGTCAGAATTATATGCCCCCCTTTGAATTTTTTTTTTAATATATATTTCCGAAATGATGTTTAACAGAGCAAGGAAATTTTCACAAGTATGTCTAATAATATTTGGAGAAAGTCTTATTTGTTTTATTACAGCTAAATTAAAAGCAGTTTAAAATTTAAGGTTTTAAGGTCATATTATTAGCCCTTTTAAGCTATATTTTCTTCTATAGTCTACAGAACAAACCATCGTTATACTATAACTTGCTTAATTATCCTAACCTGCCTACTTCTACTGCTGTATAGAAGTGTCTTGAAAAATATCTAGTAAAATATCACTTACTGTCATTATAGCAAAGATAAAATAAATCCATTATTAGAAATGAGTTATTAAAACTATTATGTTTAGAAATGTGTTGAAAAAAAATTTTCTCTCTGTTAAACAGAAATTTTGGAAATAAATAAATAAGGAGGCTAATAATTCAGGGGGGCTAATAATTCTGACTTATTTGACTTATTTAATTATTTATTTATATAAGCAATATCACACAAGTAGCAGTGCAATATGGCTGTATATAGGCACTGGTGGGAAGCGTGTGTTGGCATGAGGCCATGGGCCAAATGCCCTAGTGTCCCACCAGTGACGAAATACAGCCATATTGCACTGCTACCCATGTGATATTGTATTTATACAACAGTTCAACGGCACAATTGTGTATATAAAAAAGGAAATCAAACATGGAGAGTCTAAAATCCTTTTGTATAAGGAACTACTTTCTTCCGCCATTCCTTTACATCTGCACTTTAGAGCTAGTATTTGAATGATTCTGTGGCGTAATATCCAAAGTAATGACAAAACAGGTGATTTTGCTCACATTTTAATATTATAAGGCTGAACGGCATTAAATGCCATTAGTCTACAGAGATTTTCCATTTTTTTTCTGATGCAATCAGTATATCACAATTAACCCTGAAAAAGCCAAAGCAAAGCAAACACTTCCAGATTACTATAGTATAAATACAGCACTACATAGTACAAGAGAGAGAGATTGAGTTAGTGTCACTTACCAATTTTATAATGGTTTGATCAGCTGTAATTTAAAACATTTGATACACCGAGTTTTTCCTCCCCTAAGGACATTTGTGTTGCCATCGTGTGGCAGTATGTCAACCCTCTTTGCTCTGCTCAATGACAGTCTAATGGCTGCCGATGCGCTGAATCTAATAAATGATAATGCTTAAAAAATAAGCACTGTCTTTATAAATAAACTGCATAGTTGCAATCTAAAAAAACTAAATATGTTAAAAAAAAAAAGCGTACATTAAAAAATTACATTATATTGTGGAAGTTTTTGATTTTGTACTCTTGTTGAGATATTGATCTGCTGTCACTCTGTGTGTACGGAGTAATACATAAGAGTAAAGAGGCTATAAGAGTGCTGTTATTGCAGGTTCAAGAACCAAACAGAACTGTTGTATTAATATATATCTTCAATTATACAAGTTTTTATTGTTTGCAACATATAATTATTGTGATGGGTTGTCCCTTATTGTTGAAGGTTCATAGACAATAAAGAGAATGTACAAAGAACAAAAAAGGATGCATTAAATTACCATTTCTGTTGGTTATTTCTTTTGTCCAATACTACAGTAAGTAAATGATCATAAGCACAATAGAATGCTGTCAGTTATGCCCAACACCAAGATAATCAGGAGGAATGCATTTTAAGCAAGGTTTACACTCATGTGATGGTTGTTAGCAATTGAATGATTCCCTCTGTCAGTAAGAATCTGTAGGGAGTGCCACTGTGTGTCTAGTGGTGTAGGTATGTACAGGTAATATTGCCCTGTGCTGTCTGGCTCAAATAACCAGAGCTCCTGACTGCAGCGTTTCTACAAATAGCAGGCTCACTTGTGCCGGTGCATAGCCAAGTTGCCATGTTTCTGACTGCGCCTGCTGTCCCTGACCGCAAAGTCCCTTAAGAGCGCACCAGAGGGCCTTTTATTTTGCTTTCAACTCCAAGGGGACTCATTAAAGACAGCCACAGTGGAAACCTGAACTGTTATCGCCGATGAGCACACCTGCATATATACCGCACTATGCAACAAGCGTGTTTGCTTTTGTTCTTAAGGGGAAAGCAAAGACCATAAGTGAGACTCTTATTTGAGTTAATAGTCGTTGTCGAAGGGCCAGAGTGGAAAGAAAGAGAGAGAGAGAGAGAGAGAGAGAGTTTCTGCATGGAGTGGATCATATATCACTGTATATGAAGTTCAGAAGTTCATGTCTTGATCTTGGCTTCAGGCATAACATATAAACCTCTGCTGAAGTTGCACCTGTATTTGTGCTCTCAGAAGTACCAGGCGCCTGCTGCTCTCAGATGTTCTGTGACTGCGTGCACATTTTACAACCTCTAGATAAAATGACCCTGACATTATGAAAGGTGGCAAATATTTGATCGTGTTAGTGGTACAGCGAACCCCACTTCTTTTAACGTCTTATATAAGCAAGTCATTTAGACTTTGCTGGAATATGTAGGGCTAACAAATACATGGTAAGGCTACCATGATTGAACACATAAGATGTCAAAAGATGCCATCATTCTTCCTGGACAAGGTCAGGTGTGGTATAGTTTAAAGGTGAGCTTCACCAAAATAGTGGATTTGTTAAATGATGAACAACTTAATGCCATCTTCTGAGAGCTGCGTTTTGATGCATCTTACCTCTCAAAGACAAAATAAACACAAAGAAAGTGAGAGCAGTTATGAAAGCTTCTGAACAGAGATGCTAGTATGTTTGCACAAGCTCTGCAGTTCACATCCCATTTTTTTATACAGCACTTAATGCAATATTTGCTTTAGTGAAAGTAGATTTAAAGTATTTTTCAGCTTTTACTTTCACAAAGGTGTTTATCAACTAGAGTACATTTGCTTTGGCAAGCTGTTTTAAAATTCATGACATGAGCTTTATCTTGGCCTGATTTAATTAAAAATGTAATCAATTTTTTGAATTTAGTTTGAAGTAAATAAGAGCCTTTAAATGTGCAGCCTTTAACTTTCAGTTAGCATTCTCAAAATAAATTTAGTTTTTTTCCTTACCACAAAACTTTTGGGTATTATTGTTTGGTCTTAGTAGAGTAGCTTTTTATTTATTTATTTGCTTACTTACTTACTTACTTACAGTGCATCCGGAAAGTACTGATAGCGCTTCACTTTTTCCTCATTTTTTATGTTACAGCCTTATTCCAAAATGGATTTAATTAATTTGTTTTCTCAAAATTCTACACACAATACCCCGTGATGACAATGTGAAATATATATATTTTTTAATTGTTGCAAATTTATTTAAAATAAAAAACCTGAAAAATCACATGTGGATCTTCGCAGCCTTTTTTCAATACTTTGTCACCTTTTGGCAACAATTACAGCCTCAAGTCTTTTTGAAAATGATGCCACAAGCTTTGCACACCTGTTATTGGGAATTTTTGCCCATTCCTCTTTGCAGTACCTTACAAGCTCTATTAGGTTGGATGGGAAGCGACGATGTACAGTCATTTTCAGATCTCTCCTGAGATCAATGGGATTTAGGTCTGGGCTCTGGCTGGGCCACTCAAGAACATTCACAGTTGTTGTGATGCCACACCATTGATATTTTGGCAGTGTTCTTTGGGTCATTGTCCTGCTGGAAGATGACCGTTGCCCCAGTCTTAGGGTTTCCTTCAGGGTGTCTCTGTACATTTTTGCATTCATCTTTCCCTCTATCCTGACTAGTCTTCCAGTTCCTGCTGCTGAAAAACATTTAATCCATTTTGGAATAAGGCTGTAACATAAAAAATGTGGAAAAAGTGAAGCGCTATAAATACTTTCTTAGGGTATTCGCAGGGTCTTAAAATGTCTTAAATCTCAAAAAAAAAAAATAATAATAATAAAGTCTGTTTTCAAATTTACTGAAATATCGTGTTGTAGGTCTTAAATCTTTTTTAACAGGTATTAATTTTCCTTTGTTCATGTATTGCTACCCAATCTGGCTAACACTCATCCAATCACCAACAGTTCATCTTATTAAAACTTTTTTTAACTTTTGTTCAAGACTGAAATTTTTAACTCTATTTACTGTAATGGTTTAATTATTTTCTTTACACTAACACTTTTTTAAAAGTTCTTCATGTGTTTACTGCTATGGAAGCTGACCTGGACAGACTGTTGTGCAATCATTTAGTTTATTATAGTCTTTAATACCTTTAAAACATTTTTTTTT